AAAAGTGGAAATGGAGGCTTTGGCTGCCCCTAGAGTTTCCTGAGATTTTTGAGGGGCCTGTGTATAGTAACTCCTTCTGGCTGGATCCCTCCTTGAACTGCACTGTCTCCTCTGAGCTAGGGACATCTGCAGTGCCATCTTGCCCCTTCAGTTCTGTGGGCCAGTGCTGGGCCACTGAAGTGTAAGTGTGTACCATCCTGCAGAAGTTCTGGACCTGGCTTTCCATGACAGCTGCCATCCTGCTGATATCACAGGATCCTCTCCTGCCTGAGGCTGAGTAATGCCTGGTCTCCTGCAGTCCTCCAAACACCAGCAGCCTCGGCCCTTTCTTCCTCAGCCAGCTACAGAGCTATCACAATGAGTTGCTCACCAGGTGGTGCTCCCATATTTTCTAAGGCTAATATTCCCACAGAGGTGTCAGTATCTGAGTTACAGGAAGTAGCTGATGCTTCTTATGACACCTTACATTCATCCCCAAAGGCCTTTTGGTGGATCTGGCCGTTTCTCCACAGAGGTGTGTGAACGTCACATCAGTACCTGCAAGACTGAAGAGACGGAGGTATCATGGTCAGTGGTTAGAAGTGGTGTGTACTACTGACAGTGAGGTTCATGTCAGATTTGTAATAGAATTAAGGTTGGTACTTACTCAGTTGCTGGTACATGGATGTCTTGGCATCCCCACAGAAGTCTTCCTGATTTCCAGTGAGGTTTCAGGATTCTCTCCTCTTAGGGTTGAGGAGTCTAATGTCCCATACTCTTCCACATGCTTGGCCCCTCACTGCCCTAGTATAGGCCCTCTTATCCTGGAATGAGAGGAAAGAAGGGATTGAGTGAGCTAAATGTGGGAGGCAAGGCTATTACCACTGATGCAGTTGGGGAAACGTGATGAGATACTCGGAGGGAATGTGGAGACAGCATAAAGGGCATGCAGGGTTAGCGGTGTAGGAGGTTGAGATGAAACATAAGTGAGCAAGGGAAGAAGTTGCATGCAACTGTGAGCATGGCAGAGCATGAGCCTTGGTGGGAGGTAGATGCAGTGGCGGGAATAGACACAGTATGAAGGAACAGAGAAGAATGTGACATTATGCTAGTGGAGCAGAGAAGGTTATTGACATTTTTATGATAATGTTGGCCATTCCTAACCATTGAGAGCACACTGACCCAGCTGGTGACCTCAGACCAAGCTCCATGGTCTGATGGCCTCCTCTGCCAGTTCTCTGGGAAGAGGATGGCACTCCTTTGTACGACCCTATCTACCAGAATCTCCAGGTAGGTACCTGTTGGAGAATGGTGGCTCCATCTTCTTCTTCAACATGTTCAGAATCTGCCCATCACAGGGCAGGACAGATTCAGAACGCCACGTGAGTGCACAGTGGTTATTTCAATATCATGCAAATGCCAAGGATCCTTGTCTTTGGACAAATATCTGGTGAGTGGTGAGTTATTCTGGGAATGACACTGATTAGATGGTGCCTGGCTTGGATGTGAGGGATATCACCTGGGCAGGATAGGTCATTAATGGGATAAGTTTTGTGTGATAGGGCAAAAAATTCTTACTAGGCCCCATGGTGAGAAACCCTCTAAAAAACTCAACACAACTCGCAATTCAACAAAGAAATGAAAGAATCAGCCCATCAACTCTGCTGCTAGTGGAAACAATGCTTATAAAATGTTTACAAAGGCTGGTAATCAGTTTGACAGTTTCAAGTCTGTTCTGTGTAGAGAAAAGGGTCAACACCAGAACATGTACAAAAGAAGGTATGTCAATGATCATGTCATGATAGCATCATGGTAGGGGACTAACATTTTAGACCTTATGCTGACCCAGACTGTGCAAAGGTGTACATAGTGTAAATAAAATATTATTTTACAAAGTCCTGAGACTCTAGACATATCTTTATCAGAGTAATACGCCCATACATCATTAGAAACTCCACACAACAGTTTCTAAAGAAAAAATTATCTGAAAAAAGTTCTTTCAGTTTAACAACTGCATATCATGATTATCAACTCATCCAGACTTTTCTTCTTTTCTCTTAAGGTGTACTTGGGCTAAGGCATAAAGTATTAACTTGCATCAGATATCACTGCGATTTTTGCCACAACACAACAAATGGTATAACAAACAAACACCGTAATTTCCTGGAACTATTATACTTCAATAATGGTGCAGATCATTAAAGCAAAATTTGAATAACTTCTAGCACTAATATTACTACAGATATGAAATAGATAAAAGATTCATATCTTTATACTTAAAAAGGATTTGGTTCCAATGGAAGGAATATGTTCATTTCAAATTCATTATGTTTAATGAGGGGAAAGTGTAGGAGTGTAACATTTGGTTACTTATGTTGTTCATAATTAACCTCAGGTCTCTTACGTGACTGCCATATCAGCAAAATCTCTGTGAATATTTTCCTACTCAGTGCAAATGATCCTGAAGACATTGTGGGACAAAATTGGATAGCATCCAAAAGCTTGAGGATCATGATCTGCAAGTAAACTACATTGCTTGTATTTGAATAATTGTAGTATGCAGCCCAGCACTACATGCATCACTGAGTGCTGTGTGCCTCTGCAGGCTCCTGGAAGGCTAACACCACTTTAAAGCCGGACATTTGGCCCAAGTTACTCTGAATCCTATTCAACTTGTGGATCTTATTTACGAGTTGATAAACGATTCCTGAATCTTCATATAGATGCCTTCCTGTGTTTAATTGTCAACCCAAGTGAGCAGAACAAATTGAGGTCAAAGGAACACCCTAGCAAGGGCTTGAACTCTGATGCTCTACAACCAAGCCACCGAGGCTCTTTCCCATTCAACTTGTGGGGAACTCCTTCCGCATTTGTGACAGCTGCAGCTTCAGAAGTGGAACTAAAAGATTTAAGAGCTGCCAGTCCTTCAATTGAACAGCAGCTATTGGTGTTGGACGGCTGGCCCTTAAAGGATGGAGGTCAAGGTAACACATGTTCTGGTGTGAAGGACTTGAACAGGGAATCCTACCAAAGAAGGTCGATGGACATGAATAATGAAATGCTTCGTCCATGGTAGGCCTGCCAGAAGGATTATGTTCAAGGTCAAGAGTCATAGAGATGTACAGCATGGAAACAGACTCTTTGGTCCAATCCATCCATGCCAACCAGATATCCTAGATAAAACTAGTCCCACTCGCTAGCATTTAGCCCATATCCCCCTAAACCCTTCCTATTCATATACTCAAACAAATGCCTTTTAAATATTGTAATTGTACCAGCCTTCTCCACTTTCTCCGGCTGCTCATTCCATACTAGCACCACCCTCTGTTTGAAGAAGTTGCCCCTTAGGTCACTTTTAAATCTTGCCCCTCTCACCTTAAACCTATGCCTCCTAGTTTTGGACTCCCCCACCGTGGGGAAAAGACCTTGTTGATTTACACTATCCATGCTCCTCATGATTTATAAACCTCTATTAGGTCACCCTTCAACCTCCGATGCTCCAGGAAAAATAGTCCCAGCCTAATTCAGCCTCTCCCTATAGCTCAAACCCTCCAACCCTGGCAACATCCTTGTAAATCTTTTCTGAACCCTTTCAAGTTTCACAACTTCCTTCCTATAGAAGGAAGACCAGAATTGCACACAGTATTACAAAAGTGGCCTAACCAATGTCCTGTACAGTTGCAACATGACCTCCCAACTCCTATATTCAGTGCACTGACAAATAAAGGCAAGCATACCAAATGCCTTCTTCACTATCCTATCTACCTGCGACTCCAGTTTCAAGGAATTATGAACCTGCACTCCAAGGTCTCTTTTTGTTCAGCAACATCCCCAGGACCTTACCATTAAGTGTATAAGTCCTGTCCTGATTTGCCTTTCCAAAATGCAGCACCTCATATTTATCTAAATTAAACTCCATCTGCCACTTCTTGGCCAGTTGGCCCATCTGATCAAGATCCTGTTGTACCCTGAGGTAACCTTCTTCACTGTCCACTACACCTCCAATTTTGGTGTTATCTGCAAAGTTACTAACCATACCTCCCATGTTCACATCCAAGTCATTTATATTAATGACAAAACACAGTGAACCCAGCACTGATCCTTGTGGCATGCCACTGGTCACAGGCCTCCAGTCTGAAAAACAAATCTCCTTCACCACCCTCTGGCTCTACCTTCGAGCTGTATCCAAATGGCTAGTTTCCCTTGAATTCCATGTGATCTAACCTTGCTAACCAGTCTACCATGAGGAACCTTGTTGAATTTCTTACTGAAGACCATATAGATCACCTCCACTGCTCTGCCCTCATCAGTCCTCTTCGTTACTTCTTCAAAAAAACTCAAGCAAACTAGTGACAAATGACTTCCCACATACAAAGCCATGTTGACTGTCCCTAATCATTCCTTGCCTTTCCAAATGCATGTAAATCCTGTCCCTCAAGATTCCCTCCAACAACCTGTCCACCACAGAAGTCAGGCTTACCAGTCTGGAGTTCCCTGGCTTTTCTTCACCATCTTTCTTAAATAGTGGCACCACGTTAACATGGATGAATCCAATACTTGTTTGATCAAGTTGCAAAACTCTAATAAGTACTTATTTTATAGCATGACATTTCACATTGACAGTGAACTTTTAGAAGCCACAATCATTTATTTTAATTTTCCAGTTTTCATCAAAGAGAAAGTAATTGTTTGAATGTGAGTCCAGAAAATAAATTGTGGGAGATCACAATTTACAATTCACAATGCCAGCAAGTCATAAACAACATAATTTTGCAGACAATTTATACAAGTTAACTGTCTGGCACAACTGATCAGAAGGAAGTACAATTACTACTTATGAAATTAATGCAATATACTCAGAAAAGCAAGAATACATAAGAAAAATGTTTACTCATGTTTGTATTACAAAATAAGAATATTTATCATACACTCAAAAAGGTTTTAAGTGTAAAGGATTGTTTTTACTAAACATCTACAGTAGATGGACAGAATTTTATTTGAGTAAATAACCTTACATCGCTGTCACTGCTGACAAGTTATCACAAAAAATTAATCGTGTAATAAATTTACAAATATTTAGGGTAAAGCATTTAACAAAACAATTGCTAACATGCAGGCAATGTTCAGAAATGTGTATCTGAAGAGCCATTGGCCTAGAAATTGGTTCCAGCCAGAATGCTTCCCATGCTGGAATGGGAGGGGGGCTGGTACTTGGGTTTTGGCCTCATTTACATAAGATTGGTGAGTTATGGACATCCTCTGGGAGACACCAGGCTGCTTGATGGTGAAATAAACTCGAATTTCAGGCCATGTGAGGGGAACAGCAATCAATATTGGGTTGACAATGGTCTTTGGCATTGCTGTGGAGTTAGAAGGAATAGTGCTATTCCTCCTGGTTCAAACTTCAGATAAGGTTTGCTTTTAAATATTCCCTTATTGACGGCAGCCTTCAATGGTCTTTTATGAGGTTTTTGAAACCTACTTCTTGAATCTTGCAGCATTCAGCAAGCAGAAATATGAAGAGGAGATCTGAGACAGGAGTTATTTATGAATGCCTATGCAACAAAACTAACGTCTATTTGAAATACAGGGTCTCGTCACTTTTTTTCTGCTTTCACCGTTGAGGTGGGCTATGAACTTTCAATGCAAAATTTGCACATGCAGACTGCCTGTTATATCAATACTGAAGTCACTTTCTTTTAAGGTGGACATCAACCAATTTCTAGGCCATTCTGTAAGAATATCAATGATTCTTAAATAAAAGATGATTAATTCCACTGACAGGAACAGTCTGTTGGTTCTTGAAATGTAAAATCAATCCAAGTAGCATTTCCGGCACAGAAAAGTGGTACCGTCTGAACTGTGAGCTCAACTTCTCTACAACATTTGCAGAATCTTGCATAGTTGTTGATATTAGTGTTGAATATCATAGCAGATGGGCATTTGCCATCACAAGAAGCTACAATGACCTGGAAAGAATTAAGAATCATGATGAATCCTCCCTATTTAATTTTCTCTGCAGTAAAACTGAATACAACAGTGCTGTCAATTCCACACTCTAATAATATATTTTTGTTTTAAGCAACAATGGCAAAACCGGAACTAAGATGGTGTTATACGTACAGCACCAGTTGTGCGGCAGTCATCCTTTCTTATGATCATTTTAACATCTAACTTCCGGCAAGGCCTTGTATCTTCTTTGCCTGGTAATAAATAGACACATTAATAGATTGACATGTTAGCAACAATTCTTTATACAACAATACAAATGTGAACATCAACTTAAAGATGTGCTTTTATTTGTTTCATGATACTAAATAAATATTAAGACTAATTCAGTAAAAACTGCTATTGACTTATTTCAGGACACAGGAAAGCAAGAATACAAAATGTTGGCATAAAGTTGTGCATCCATTGGCAGCTACAAATGTTGGCATCTTAGAAGTTAAATTACGTGACGACAGCAATAATAAGCATTCTAACTTCATGCTGTGCAATTATTAACTTGCTTTACGGTTGTTATTTTACAGTTTAGTTACAAATGATCTCCAACAGTTTTCTTGTCTATTCATTTTGCTTATTCAAAATCACTTCATGTCATGGAGTTATAGTAAAGTGTTAGATCTATACGCTTCCAAGATGGTAATTGTTTTTGAACTGCTTTGAGGTGTACAAATATAAGGTGTTCTACAAATGCAAGTATTTCTTGCTTTCCTTTTGAAAGAGACTAAAAAAACACATCTTTTTTTCATTTTTTGCACAATTTATCCTACATTACGCTATAACGAAATATTTAATTTCAGAATGTTTCCTAATTTAGTAATTTCAGATAAGCAAGTAATTGTAATCCAATTTATAACTTGTTTTATCTTTTAATCCCATTCTACCATTAAGGGACAAGACCTGACCTTTTAGCCTTTCATACCTGAGCTCAACTGTATCTTAACTCCATCTATCCAATGTAACTTTATAAACCTCTTGTTAGCCTTGTCTAAAAAAAAATCAATTTCAGTTCCCAAATTTTCAATAATCACAGCCTCAAAAGCTTTTCCAAGCAGGAAGTTCTAGATTTCTACTACCTTTCGTGTAAAGGATTGTTTTCTGCGATACCCTTGAATAATATGGGTCTTATTCTCCATTTGCATCAGTGGAAGAAGTTTCCTCCTGTCTATGTGTTTACCTCATTTATTTATCTTAAACACCTAAATGAGTATTTCAAACTCAAGGGGACTAATGTCCAGTCTATGGAACCTGTCCTGATAATTAAATCCTTTTACAACAGTATTGTTCTGGTAAATCTCCAAAAACAATATAACCTCAGAAATAAATGCGTTTAAATGGAGCTCCCACTCGAGTTTCATATAATTATAACATAACATCCAGCCGTATGCATTTCAGCCACCTTGCAGTAAACACCAGTATTCCATTAACCTTTTTGATTACTACTTGTTCGTGTATGCAGGTTTTTGGTGATTTAGGTACATGGACAACAACTCCCTTTGTTGTTCCACAAAGTCTAAGCTTCAGTCTCAATAAAAAATTAATTTGTCCATCTTGGATACAAATTCTCACACTTCTTACCTTAAAGCCCATCCATTATAATGTTGCCCAGTTACAAAATTTAACAATGTAGGGGCATAGGAATAGATGCCTGCAGTTATCTTATTCAACTTCTGACATCTCAGTGAACATGTGATAGGATCATAATAAAGGTGTAATGGAGGAGTTTGAGCAATCACAGCAATGGATCTCTCGCGACTGAGTTCCAACAAACCCAGACATGAGGTGAATAAAACCCCCGGGTTAGAAAGTTTTGGGAACCATAGGTCAAAGGCCACCTCTTTCTCCCACCCATTATATATTCATCGTATGCAAATTCTCAGATTAATCGTATACACTTCCTTAAAATTTATCCAATTTTTAATTGCAGAAAACATGCTTCCAACATCTCCTTAGGCAACCTGTTACATAGGTTGAACACTCAATAAAATGGTGACCTGGAAATTTAGCCATCTTAAATTTAGTAGAAGAAAACGCAATTCAGATAATAAAGCAAGTTTGAGCTCTACATTTGTCACATCCTCCATGTGAAAAGAATATATTTGGTGAAGTGATGGCGGGATACTGGTGCTTTCCTCCAAGATGCATTTTTGGGTAATAGAAAAGGAAACGAGGGAACAGTTGTTAATTGAAAGATAGGATGATTGAAGTAAGGAATGATCAGTGCAATGCAACAGAACTCTCAGTGAGTTGATTCTGTTTTTAAAATAGAATATATGGTGGTAAACTGAGTTTAGACAATAGTGGAACTTGCCTGAAGTTCTATCATTAAATTAATTGCATAGAAAATCAGTCAGGCTCCAATACAAACATGCAAAATGTCCCATTCAGTTTACACTTGACCTAGGCAATGCTTAAAAACAAAGAAGAAATCTGCACTATTATTTTTTCATTGTCCCTAACATACATAGGCACTTTACAAAAGGCACCACACAAGAGTCTCATGGCAAATGCAAGAGTATGGCAGACTCAGGGTTTCAGTCACAAAGTAAATTTAAATATTGCTACAAAAGAAGAAAACAAAGTAAGTATTAGAAGTTTCCTAGATTAGCCATAAGTACAAAGTACATTGTTGCTATTCCCCATTCACATGAATGACAGACTCAGAATGGTGTTGAAATTTGTAAATGACACCAAATTTGGTGGTTGGGGTTTTTACAGCTAATAATATAAAGGACAGTGCTAAAATACAATAAACAGAGAAACAGGGCGGCATGATGGTTCAGTGGTTAGCACTGCTGCCTCACTGCGCCAGGGACTTGTGTACGATTCCATTCTTGGGCGACTGTCTGTGTGGAGTTAGCACATTCTCCCCGTGTCTGCGTGGGTTTCCTCTGGGTACTCTGGTTTCCTCCCACAGTCTAAAGATGTGCAGGTTAGATTGATTGGCCATGCTAAATTGGCTGTGGTATTCAGGGATGTGTAGCTTAGGTGGGTTATAGGGGGATGGGTCTGGGTGGGATGCTTCAAGGGTTGGTGAGGACTTGTTGGGCCGAAGAGCCTGTTTCCACAATGTGGGGATTCTATAATCTATGAGAGTGGTACAGTAGGTAAATAAGTTGCACATGGAATTCAATATTGCAAAGTGCATTTTGTAGTATTAATATAAAACAGATGGTGGTCATGTTAAATTTACATGCAACCTTATTAAATCATACTTGGAGTACTCTTCCAGTCCTCCTCTCCAAATCTCAAAAAACACATTGCTATACTTGGAGGAACTGCACAAAAGATTTACAAGAAAGTTAACAGAGCTGAGATGACCAGGGACACAGTTTCTGACGAAAATACTAAGAGGAGACCTCAAGAGGATTTTACACTTAAACAGATGATAGGATGGACATAGGCAAAGTGTTTACTGGCTACCGAGTCTTGGACAAAGGGGCATAAATAAGTTTCCCAAATGTATCAACTAAAGAAATTTGGTGGAATTTCTTATCAGTGAGTCTGATAAGAATCTAGAACTCTCTGCTACATGGATTTGAAGTACTGTACACAGCACTGATGTGTTCAAGCACAGAGTTGTTGCATACATGAGGGAGAATGGTGGCAAGGTATGAGAGATAATTAGAGTGGGAGGAAGCTTACGTGAAATATAAAAGCTGGTTGGGAACAGTCAGATTGAGTCGCCTGTTTCTGTGATGTAGGTTCTATATAAATATACTTAACACATAAAACTCATTCTGTGCTTGATATGAATAATTCTTACACCATGCACTTCACATATTATAGATTTATTGCACATTTGTTCTTGAAAAACACTGAAATTATAAAGAAAATACATAATGGGAATAGTACCTGTGTCACAGTTAGTACTACCAGTTGGGACTACTGGACTAATGGTAAAAGGTAATAAACCCAATCCAGAACCTGGCAGAATTATCAATATCAGTTTAATATAAAGTAACAGTATATATTACATTGAAATATTACATATCTGGCATGCATTAAATTAAGCTGGTATATCAGATAATGTTCATGTCACAAAGGATAGCATATGAACACAAGCTGGTGTTGAACCTGAAAGGCCATTCAAGTGCACATGCTTTTAGTCAGTGATGGCATATTTATAAATCAAAGTAATGCTAAAGAATCACATGTAAGCAGGCGATTTGGATTTAGGTGCATTCTCTGTAGCCACATCAGTTTAAAAAATATATAATTCTGAAGTATAACAGTTTTTGTGATCCGATGAACTGTTTCTTTTAAAAAGGATTACTGTTGAAATGTACATATCATGTACAATTGAGCTTGAAAATTTAAATTACACTTGGCTGCATACTGTCACCCTTAGTATGAGTTTACTTCAAAAGCACCTTAAATACCACAATCAAATGTCCAACTGTTAAAAATTATGTTTTTCTTTGCACTAAATATTAGTACAGCTAGTTAGTGTGCCACATCATATAGGATAACACTATTGACCTGAGGGAGGGTTTTAAAGGTGACCTAATTCACAACCTTTGATCATTAATGACTAAACACAAATGGAACGAAGACTCAGGTCTTAGCAACACAATTTTATTGCTATATTTTCTTGGTCACTGCAGCTCAGGGAAAAAAAAACAAAGTTATGGCGTTATGCACATTCTTTTCTTTCTGCTAATATAATAATATAATTATATTGTATATGCCATTTATCCAGTTATCATCACTCTCGAGCATGTATACTTGTAGTATTTAAGGAACATTTAAAGTAAACTGATCAAGCTCATGAAGAGGGACAGTGTGCAAACAATCCAAAATATATGTGTTTAATACTCAAATGTATAGGTATAAAGTGAACAGTCACTTTATAACATACCACTTTCTTTAAATATGTGTCAATTTTTTAAAGATTTGATTTTTTTCCTTGTTAGGAAAACAGTTATATTTATGGAAGGAGCTAAAGAATATACCATATGAAATAAGAGGAAAATTAAAACTAGGAATATAGAATTAGTAAGAACTTTCAAAAAATATGAGGAAAAAGACCCTTGAAACTTAATTACAAAATAGAGGGAACCTAATTGTGCCCTCATTGTTTTAATATTTTTATTTCCAATTTTACAAAAAAATTGTGTTCAACTCCTCCTAACCCAGTTGTTCTGCTCCCCCTAGACTATTTTGTAGGTTAATATGGCACGGTGGATCAGTGGTTAGCACTGCTGCCTTCCAGCACCAGAGACCCTGGTTCAATTCCACCCTCAGGGCGGAACTGTCTATGTGGAGTTTGCACATTCTCCCTGTGTCGGGGAGAGATAGTAGGAACTGCAGATGCTGGAGAATCTGAGATAACAAGGTGTAGAGCTGGATGAAGACAGCAGGCCAAGCAGCATCAGAGAAGCAGGAAAGCTGACATTTCAGGCCTAAACCCTTCTTCAGAAATTTCTGAAGAAGGGTCTAGGCCCAAAACGTCAGCTTTCCTGCTCCTCTGATGCTACTTGGCCTGCTGTGTTCATCCAGCTCTACACCTTGTTCTCCCTGTGTCGGTGTTGGGTTTTCTCCCCTAGGCTAAAGATTTGCAGGTTAGGTGAATTAGCCATGGGAGATGCATGGTTTACAGGGATTGAGTGGGATGCTGTTTGGAGGGTAAGTGTGGACTCGATGGGCTGTATGGCCTGCTTCCACATTGTAGGGATTCTATGTGAATCTTTTTACTATCTTTCAAAAATTGGGCAAATATAAATAAAATTTCAAATGTTCTTAAGTTAAGTTTGGTTTGAAGGGATTAAATCAGTTGGCAGCAAACATGAGATGGGCTGTCAGTGGGCTACAAGTTTTTTCAACTTAAAAATGACCAATTTTGAATATATGTCATTTCTTGATTGTAATTAACTGTGATATCTAAACTGTTAATTTAAATTGTAACCCTCTTCTCACTGAGGTTTTCAATAGTACCAAATGTTCAGAACTCACATATTACTTACCTGTTCACAAAACTTGGGCAATAAATCAGGTGGTATAAAAGGGGGTAGATCTCCAGTATGACAAAATCTCTTTCCAAATTATATCTCTTCTCTCTTAGGGTCATGGGACTTTAATTCCAATATGTTTCATTGAATTTGAATGATCATTAGCCTTGCTATCACCATACTTGTCAAACAGTAATCTTTCCAACAGTTAGGACTCAAGAAGGCATTTAACTGGCAAATAAACTGGCTTGAGAGATCTTGCATGTCAATTACACTTAGAATTGGTGCTTTCAATTTGTGAATACCCAATTAAATGGCACAGTCAAGATGCTGGTCTACAACCAAAAATAAATTGTAAGAAAATTGATTAAAACATAAAAGTATTTGAAAGGAAACGTGAAGAAGAAATTAATGTAAAACTAAAAATAGTGACAAGAAGAAGAAAATAAATTCAGAGAGTAGAAATAATGAAAATACAGGATTGAAGCAAATAAACTAAAGAATAAAATTTTGAAAAGTAGAAGAAATCATGAAAATATGCATTTGCCTCCAAAGCTACCAAATGTTACTGAAAGTTGGAATCTGACAGATTAGCAATAGACTTGAAATTGCATGTTGTCTGCACTCTTCTTGGTTAAAATACTTAAGTTGATAAGCAAAATAAAAATACTGAACTTTATAATTACCTTTCAGAATGCTGCCAAAAGACTTCATATTTTCAAAGTGAATTAAGATGGTGTATAACCTGTCTTTATTTGACACTGAATAGTATTCCCAAATTATACTTCGAAAGAGAATTAGGATAAATTGTTCCTCTTTTCTTAACAGTTATACTCCAGAATAAGTTGGCGGTTAACCATATCAGCAGCCTGCATTTATCATACTGCAGCCCAAATAAGCAGTGCAATAAAACGTTCACAACAGTTGTTTAAAATGTTAACGGATTGCCGTTCAGACTGATTAAACACTACATGCTTTGTTTACTCCTTCATTTTCCCAGCGATTCACGATTTTACCACAGCTATTCAAACCAAAGCCAAACAAGCATAATATGCAGCCTTGCTCACTTACAAGTCTTGCAGCAACCGTCCATGTAAAGCTTTATGATTCCTCCTCTCTGAAGAAAGAGAAGAAGGACAGATAATCAGGAAAAGTGACTGCAGTAAGAGAGAAGACAATGCTTTAAACTTTCATCTGTGCACAAATTTCAAATAGGATTATGTATGATGGGATGGGATGTACAGTACAAAAACAAGCCATTCAGCCTAACCGGTTCAATGCCAGCGTTTATGCTTCACTTGACCTCTCTCCCATCTTTCCACACCAAAATCTATCATCACAGCTAACTATTCCTATATCTTGTGTCTGGTTTGTCTTGCTTGACTGGTTTCCCCTTAAGTATATCTCTGCAATTTACCTTAATCAATACTTGCAGCAATTTCCACATTCTCACCACTAGCTGGGTAATAGAGTTCCTTCTGAATTTCCATTTAGTTTTTTGGTGACTATCTTGTATTGAAGGAGCCTATGAGTTAGACTGTCAGCATATGGTTCAGATTAATATAATTGGCATGGAATTAAATTCCTTTCCCGTCTGAGCTAAACTCAGGGATTGTCTCCTCACCTTGTCCATGGTAAACAACCTCATAGCAAATACACAACCTTGGCTTTGGCAAATCATTGTCAAAGATTTGTTTTCAGACAGGAAGCTCAGGATGATGACATTATATTGGTAGCCTCAACTCATGCCCTTCACTGCAACAGATGTCCATTCTATCAATCCATTTCATAATTTTTAAAACTTCTATTATGAGTCACCCCACAGGCTTACTGTTTCAGGAGAAAAGACACCCAGCTCTCAATCCTTTCTTTGTCCACTTATTTCAGATATCATCCATGTAACTCTGTTGCACTCTCTCCAATACCTCTTTCTTTTTATGGTATGCTGACCTGAACTAAGTGAGTACTTAAAGGAGAGCCTAACCAAGGTTTGATACAGGTTTAGCATAATTTACTGACTTTTTAATTCAATGGTCTTGATTTTCCATTTTTTAGTCCAAGTGTGGGGATGGGGTATTCACCGGCGATGGAGAAAACTTACTAATTACTTCTAGGGAATGTCCTGGGCCTATCACAAGCCTTGTCATTGGAGTGCCACTTTGGCAGAAGCTGCTAGCCAACTCTGCCAGTGCCTGGCAGTTTCTGGGTGCTAAAGAACATTGTCGAGACCTATTCATCAGGGACTCAAACCACAGTGTTTTGTTTTGCTTCTCAAAGGATGGGGGTTGTAGAAAGATGGAAGATAGGGGTTAGAGGCAAATGCAGCGGATGGCTTTCAGAGGTCACCCCTTGATCCTGTCTGCAGTTCCACCTGCACTAACTCAAGATAAATGGATGCCCTGCCTTTAAACCAGCAGGCAACTTTATTTTATTCGCTCAAGGGACGTGAGTGTTGCTGCCCGGCCAGGATTTATTGTCCATCCTTAGCTGTCCTTGAACTGAATGGTTTGCTAGGTCATTTCAGAGGGCAGTTAGGAGTCAACCACATTTCCATTGGTCTGGAGTCACATGTAGGATGGCAGATTTCCTTCCTTACTGGACATCAGTGAGTCAGATGGGTTTTTCCCCAATAATCGGCAACGTTTTTATGGTCAAAGATAGATTCTTAATTCCAGTTTTTTTTTCATTGAATTTAAATTTCATCATCTGGGATTTGAACCCAGGTCTCCAGAACATTAGCTGAGTTTCTGGATTAAAAGACTAGCAATAATACCACTAGATGATCACTTCCCCTAACTCTAGTTAGTCACTCTGGTTTCACAGTCAGGAAGCCAGCCACTTATACTTGCCTGCTTAAAATACAGATAATTTGGCCTGTGGTACATTCAGACCTTTAAGTGGTCATTAATTGGCCACTTAAGGGGCTTACTTGTTGGCAGATTGAGAAAGTCCTCAAATGGATAGTCCATTCTGTGAGCATGTGAATATATAGTCCATTCAGTGCTGACTATATCCATTCATTCCTCACACTGATCCCAAGCTCACATCAATCCACTGTCATCTGCACATTTAGAAATTATGTTTCTGATTGCAAAGTTAGCTTGTGCCAATGAACATTCCCTTGTCATTCAAGTTCATTTAGTTGAACTAATATTGGACCTTCCATATTTTCAAATTTTAGGTAGTGATAGACATGGATGTCACTGAATAGGACAAGGGAGTAAAGTTCAAACCTCAATAGAAATGGACAGATTGTTTTGGCTTGGAGGAGACTAGACCATGACGTGAATCATCATACTAATTCTTGTTCAGCAGCTAGCCTCTTTTTAGAAGGCATCTTTAAGTTCTCTTTTTTTTGGGTATTGGGGCCTTTTTTTTGTATGTAGAGACATATGGTATGTAATTTTTCTTATGGAAGTCTTGTAGTTATATGTAATCATATGTAGCCCACTCAATGGTTGTAAGCTGTATTCCAAAAGCAAAACTGCCCTCCCAGAATTATCAAATATGAAAAAGGCATATGTTTTAGTTGTGACAGATGTACGAACCTGTATGCATTCAGTCTCATTAAATGGCGGGCAAACAACTCCTGAGCCAAGTACCACAAGTCCAACAGCAGTCTCCAGGCACTCATATCTGACACAGTTAGTAATCCAAGATGTTCCTGCCTGGAGTGAAAAGTGATTAGCACACATAAGTTTGCTAATATATTATTTTGGCCAGCCAATATATATTTTCTCGATTGATTCTAATGTAACATTTACAATGACAAAGCAACACTTCAAATAATAATTCAGTGGATAGTGAATATTGCTGAAAAAACACATTTTATCAAAGCTTTTCATCTTGGACTCATCAGGACATTTCACAGAAAATACAAATTCAAGGGGAAAACTAAACTTACCTCATGAGAGGAGAGTACTGACTGACTGATATGTGGACTCTGATTGGTAGAGATGTTGCTATGGAGAAGGCACCCCTTAACTGATTTACAGTTAATAGCCAAGCTTTGTTAAATTTTAGAACAGGCAGTTGTAACTCAAAGTCAAAAACAGAAATTGCTGGGAAAACTCAGCAGGTCTGGCAGTATCTGTGGAGAGGACACAAAGTTAACATTTCAGGTCCAGGATCCTTCTTCAATTCTGATTTTCCCCAGCAATTTCTGTTTTTGCTTCTGATTTCCAGCATCCATAGTTCTTTGGATTTTTTTTGTTCAGTGTTGACTTAAATTGGTCACAGTATTGCACTGAGAAATGAGCTAGTGAATAGTTGTCATCTATATTATTCAGTTGAAACAGGCGCCTATAAATGTTCTTTCTGTCTGCAAAGAACTAGGCCCTGTGTATTAATATATTGGGCTTTCAGAAAATGCAAGTGCACCACGTTATATGCCCGACTGACTATTCTGAATTGATTATCAGCGTAAATACTTACATATTCAGGATTATCCAGCAAATGTTGTCCAATTGCAGAAACATATCTAATGTTATACACTGTTGCAAATTTTGTAAGTGTGGGCCGGTTGTGTATGGCCAATACCTTATTTCTTGTGAACAGTTAAAGGGACATACGTTCTGACATTCTTTGGGACATAATGACCATATATCTGGCATTACACCAGCATTGAAATTCATAAACCATATTATTCATTTCTGTCATAATCAACACATCTTTTTGCATTGACAGCAGATCCTATAAAACACTCATGTTGCTACGGCATGAGACAGTTCACCTGCTGCTCAAACCTTTGAGATACCCTTCCAGGGTAATTTGAGGTAGACTGAGCACTTTTATCAACCATCCCGCATTCTCTTCTCATACAATTTAAATATCAGTTTTCTCTTTGAATTTGTATTCTTGCAATATGTGTTGATGAGGGCAAGAGAAGATTAAAAAGTGACTTCACAGCAATAGTCAAGTCCTGTACGATCAAATGACTATTATATAGTAATGGTTAGCATTCTTGGAATATAAGATAAATAGAACAATACGACAAAAATATCTAATATAATTTTCACTCCTGATTGCTGACCAGCTGATATCAATTTTTGGAGCATCTTTCTTTCTTAATTAAATTTTATAAATCTAAATATATTGTTATGCATATTTGTATAGTCCATATCCTAAACATGGTACATATAGCACATCATCATACTCCCTGTGGCACACCAATGTTACATTCTCATCTACTTCGTAATCAAGAAACGTAGGTTACCTTGGGTATTATTAATAAAAATTCTAACTGAATGATCAATCACTTGACTTCAAACTCCACTAGTTTAGAAATGAAGTTTACTAGGTGAGAAATGTAACCACCTAATTAACAATCTATACATTAAATTCTATTGTTTTACAGGAGGAAAAAGCTGATAGGCCAACATGTATCTCATGCAGTATAATGGAAGCTGGGGCTATTTGTAAAATATTAATCAATTTAAAGTTAGACATGAGGAATTTAAGTCTGTCTTTACACATGATTTAATAGGTATTTTTGTAAGAAAGATACTTAAGCTTCTAACTGAACAACAGGATGGCTTTTGATGTATTCCTGTCTCCACGTCCTTTCCAACCAGGGTTAGCTACTTGCCTCAAAGAGGGTGTTTTGCAATTTTATCACAGTTTGTGGGCATCACCAGCTCGGCCAGCATTGCTGCCCGGCCCTAATTGCACTTGAGCAGGTAGCTAATTGAGGCATAATCAGGAACCATTTTGTGCACCGTTGGTATTTTCTCCCACTGTTACAGATTGGACTGCAAGGTGTTGCTGATCTGCAATATTGTTCTCTGGAAGATGGTTTGAACTGCAAGCTGTAGCCCAAGAGAAGTAGAAGTAGCCCAAAAGTACTGTGTACCTTGGAGGCAGATTGCGCAAGCTCACATGCTACAGAGGCACTGCCCAGAAAGTGGGGGCTCACCTTTACACAAAATATTCCTACCATTTGTGGAGGTCACCAGAACGATGTAGTTGGCCTCTATGCAGCAGGCTGAATGGCCATTGGAGCTGCAGGGATGAGAGGTTGGGATTGTATCATTCATCACCCCCTCCACTCTGATAGGCTACCCACCTCAGCCTCAATATTTGATCAGTTTACTGCAGATAACCAAGGGCACCTTCATGTTTAGGTGCCATTGGACTTGCCTGTCTGCCTCAGTAGATTCCACCTCTCTTATTGGGTTGCTGTCTCAGCAACCTTCCCCCTATTATCATTTAAGATGCATATAGAGAACAAGAAATCAACATGTTAGGACTTCTGGAAAAACATAGCAGGACGTAGTCTGATCAACCTTTAAGCTCTGGTGTTTAACATCATCATCTTTAATAGGATGACAAATACAAGGTGCAAGGTAGCCATTTAATAAAGCTGGCTGGATACTAGAAGATTGCACCATGAGCCAAGCTGACAACATGGAAAGGTTCAACAACTTTATGGGCCCAAAATTAGTACTCTAATAGCTGGTTGAAAATTCAACCCAGCTCAGGCCATGATTTATACGTTCAGTGTAATTTTCCTTTTCACTTTATGCAGTGAGATAATACAAACAATAAGCTGACTTACATTGTACAAAACAATGCTTCCACCTTCTTCAAAAGTGCACGACATATTCTTACATGTTCCACAGCAAACATGAGGATCAGATGAAGGAACGTAGACTTGATGCTGTTGGTTAGTATAATAGAACATAAAAGTTCAATTGTATAAAAGTTATGACAAGAATGATCCATACACATAAAAATTACAGGGTTGATAAAGTCAAAAGAAAATGACATCAATTCTTTGTATAAATAGATCTTTGTATTTCAGTGATTTCCTAAATCATGTTGGTGGAACTAATAGTATTTAGAGTTTTTTTTATTTTCGTTTGACAGAGCTGAACATTGATGCTGATAAGTAAATAGTACAGTAAAATGATCAGAATTATTTCCCATGGCACAGTTAAGCAATAAAGAACTGCCAGCCTCTGATTAGCTGGGTAGCTCCCAATGTCAGCTGCCCAGTTAAATGCCTGATTTGAATTTAATTCAGCAAGCCTTCCTGAGAAGAGTCGGTTCAGTGCTGTCCCTAGATCCCCAGGATGCAGGGGAGATTTCTGTCACTTGCGTTAAATACCAGCCAACATCTTATTTTTTTCATAGAAGGAGAAGCTGTCTGACATTGAGGGATGAATTTTATCAAAAATCAGCAAAGTTTCAATTTCAGGCAGTGTCATGGAGGGTTTCTCTCCATTAGCTCCAGCAAGTTGTCTCACACAATTCTCCACTGGTCACCTCTGGTTAAACTTGTCTATGGTGGAGCTATAGCACCACACTCATGCTATCATGCATTCAGAAATGGTGGAAGTACTCGCCACTGCTGGTACTTCCCAGGACTCCTGCCGGCATCATATTTCAAGCTCAGCCATGAACCAGGTCAAGGCTGTCAGTCAGGAGCTGTCCTTCACAGTACACATAGTGGGGGGAGAGGGAACAAAAATTAAAAACTTCTTAAGGTATTGGAGGAATGACTGACACTTCATTGCAAATACAAGGTCCGATTCATAAATGCATTATCATTTTACATTATCACCTGTCTGACTGACCACCACTGTAAATGCTATTGTAAGAATTGAGATTCACAGGCTACCTGTCCTTAGTACCATACAATGTTGGAATCCTGTCTACTCTTTCACTAATGCCCAGCGTAGGATAACATATTCGCACTGTTCAATGTGAAACCATTACATGATGGAAAACCTTGAAATAGTTAAAAACATTAACTTTTATTGAACAACAGCAAAGGGAAAAAAAAACAAAGAAAAGGCTATTTTTTCAGGGAAAAAAGTCAGGACGGCTTGTCTTTTCAGAAAAAAATTACATTCAGTGAATGAACAATGCGCCCAACTCACATCTATTGGAACCTTGTGTCAATTAAGTGCTATCTGTTGTGTACAATGCAGCACTGCTCTATCATGTTGAATGTGATGCTCCTCCTTCTCAATATCCTCATCTTTCTCCTCAGAAGACTGCTGTCTGTCTCCCAGCTCTTCAACCTCCATCTTATCTCCTCTTTGCCTGATTCGGTTGTGCAGAGCACAGCTTGCTAGACCTCATCTGAACTGTATTGCATTGAGCCCCCAGGTGGATCCAGGCATTGAAAACTCATCCTCACCAGTCCTATTTTCTGCTGGTAAAAGGTGCTGGTAAAAGAATGGGCTACGTTGCTTGCACATTGATGGGGTTGCTGACATCAACCATGGTCACAATGGGTGGCTCTTATCTCCCAGTAACCATCTTTGTAAGGCATCCAGCCTTTAGAATGAAGCAGGAATCTAACAGTTCTCAAGAATACAGACTTCATGGCAGATTCCAGAATACCTGGTGCAAACTTCTAAGATGTGGTATTGATGATCACGGACGAATTGTACTTCGATGAAATGGAAATCCTTTCTATTGATGAAATCAGCTGCATTATGATATGGCCCGCTCAATTCAATGTGTTTACAGTGTCCTGCACGTGGGGGCTGCCAGTTATATTAATAAAGCCTACTGCCTGGAATACAACACTGACCTTATCACATGGAAAGCAGATGAAGCAATGTGATCTGGTACAAATTGCATCGGTAACAGCCTCACTACATTTATGGATCAAGGCTCCCTTGTTGAGTTTTGCAAGAGATGAAAAGCATTAAAATTTAGTTGAGCCATCATGTTGACAGCCATTGGGATGAGATGGCCACCCACCCCTTCAGCTCGTAGATTCCTCACCAGCAGATGGCATAGATCCATGATTGTGCCTCATTCCACACTCCCTCTAATTTTTCTTGTCATGGTACAGACTTCTGAGGTCCATGCATAGCAGCAATTTCTGGAACCAGAAGTCAATGTAGCTACACATCACTTGGCCATGTAGCCCCTTCAAATGGCTGCGCAGCTGTTCAGCTTAAGGGTACATTGTCTGTGGCAATCACAGTCTGTAGTGGCAATGCATTGCTCTCATCTGGAGGATATAGGATCAAGCATGATAGGGTCTGGCCCTCCTGTATTTCCTTTTTGTTTTGAGGGAGCATTCAGCTGGGACTTCACCATGTGGACACTGCTTGGTCTAAGTACCAATGTGCCCAAGTGGGGAATATCAGAAGCTGAGCAATTTCTTAATTTTGTGAGCAGTCAACATTCCCATCACCCAAACATGGCAACTTATCATCATCTTCCATGTTGTAGGAGGACCCTGACAAGTTGGGCCTGGGAGTATCTCTGCATGGATTTTTGACTGAGGAAATAATATTCTGATGAATGCAGCACAAACCATTCACACCAGTACATGAGAAGATTATAAGTGCAATAAGATTACTGTAACCTCTTCCCGTCACCTGCCATCCACATCAGCCAAGCAAGGCAGAATTGCATATGAGAGCATTTTGGCAGAAACTTACAATTCAAGGTGAGAGGAAATCAGCTCTGTGCTCTTGTGCAGCATATGGGGTCTTGGATTGTCCTTCTGAATTGTGGCCCACAGGTGAGATTTTTAAGGTCATTTGTGATTATTTCTGCTTCACAGAGATGACCACATTCAATTTATATTGACCAATGACAGTTGTACACTGCATGCCTTTCACATACTGGGTACTACAATTACAGGTGTCTTTAACCTTAACTGTGCAAATGCCTGATTCATGTAAAGGTAAAATCACTACAGTCCTTCCAGACTGTAAGGCCACTGTCTCATTAGAGAGAGACGACTGGTGGTGCTTTAAGCTAAGGGTCACCACACCTCAGGTGAGGGGAGTGGTTGAGAAAGAGAGTCTTTCATTGTGACCTCAGCCAGTGCGGAAAATGAACTCATGCTGTTGACATCATACTGCATCGCAAACCAGCCGTCCAGCCAACTAAGTTAACCAACTCTGCCCATGTAATTGCCCCTTGAAAGGCCCCAGACAGAAAAAGCTTTGCTCCTCATTCCAGGTATGGCGGCAGCTATTTTCCATCTCCATTACAATTTTGCCATTCAGTTAAGGATGGGTGACAACATAAGTTGTGCTTGGCAGAGTGAGTCATAGGCTCAGCCTCATAACTAAATGGCTTCTCTGAACCTCTATGTTCCTTTCTCGCTGGAATTCCATGTTGACCTAATCAATACTGTGCAACCTCGGTTCCCAGCTAACTCTTTCAGTTTAAGTCTTCAACTCCCAATATTACCACTTGAAGCTGGCCCTACAGTTTATCCCTGCAAAAGATCATGCCACATTGTCCAACTTTTGAAGGCACAATGATTGTTACCATCAATGACCTGCTTCTCCCGTCGTAACCCACGTCCTCCAATGCATTATTGTTCTCCCCCTTCTTGAGTTTCCTCCCTTCACATTCTTTGTCCCCTCTGAATCTCAGTATGCTGACTCCAGTCCCAACTGTTGACTTCTACAACTTGCCTACAACAGCAGTTCCCCTGATAACCCCTTGACCTTCAGCAAGCAGACCCTCAGGACTGACCATGGCCAAAGATCCAAATCGACCTGGACAGACAGTCCCGAATGTTCTGAGGAAGGGTCACCAGACCCAAAACTTTAACTCTGTTTTCTCCTCCACAGATGCTGCCAGACCTGCTGAGCTTTTCCAGCAACTTTGTTTTTGTTCCCGAATGATGTGTGACCAGGCCCCTGACTGGGCATTCATTTAAGCATCATGTAACGGATTCATGGGAAAAGTTACAAGCAATGGAATAAAATAGACAGTAGCAATATGGGTTCCAAACTGATTGAGTGATAGGGAACAGAAAGTAATGGTCAATGGAAATGATTTAATCTGGAAGAAGTTTTGAAGTAGAGTTCCCCTATGGTCAGTATTGAGACCATTGCTTTTCCTAATATACATTGCTGATCTAGGTCTTGGTGTGCAGGGGACAATGTCAAAGTTTGTGGATGATACAAAGCTCAGAAACATTGTAAACTATGGAAAGGATGGTGTAAAACTTCAAAAGGACATAGGCAAGTTGATGGAGTAAGTGGATATGTGGCAGATGAGGTTCAATGAAGAGAACTGTAAGGAGGTATGCATTTTCATAGGAAGAACTTAAACAGAAAATGTAAAATAAGGGGTACAATTTTAAAATGGGTGCAGGACTAAATTGGCCTGGGTGCATATGTGCAAAGATCATTGAAGGTTGCAGGACAGGTGTAGAGACTGGTTAATGACACATACAGCATCTTGAGCTTTACTAAGAGGGGCATAGAGTATAAGAGCAGATAGGTGATGTTGACCTTACATAAGGCACTTGTTAAACCTCAACTGGAGGACTGGAGAGAGTGCAGAAGAGACTTACAAGAATAACTTCAGGGAGGAGAAACTTTAATTATGAGAATAGATTGGAATTGTCCTCTTGGGGAGAAGAAGACTAAAAGGTGGTCTGATCGAAGTTTACAAAATCATCAGGGGTGGGGGGAGCTGCATATAGTAGATAGAGAGAAACTGATTTCACTTGCAAGAGGATCAAGAACCAGAGGGAAACGATTAAAGTACTTTGCAAAAGAAGCAAATATGACGTGAGAAAAATCTTCACTATACGAGTGGTTCGGGTCTGGAATATACAACCTGGAAATGTGGTGGAGGCAGGTTCAATTGAGGAATTCAAGACAGCATTGGATGATTATTTAAATAAAACTGATGTGGATGAGTATGGGGAAGAGGTAGGCGAATGACACTAAATCATTAAGTTCATTTGGAGAGCCAGTGCAGGCAGGTTGCATCCAAGGGCTTTCTTCTATATCATAACACGCTGTGATGTCTGTGCAACACCCTGATTGACTTGTTGTGACTCCCCAGACTGGTTGCTCTTAACCTGCAGGTCTGACCATGGTCTACTCCATGGACTGCAGAGATACAGAATCCTTGACTGCCCTATGTGGCCAACTGACCAAACCTTTGGACAGAGGTTAGATACTGCCTGTGACTGATTGTTACAAGACCCCCAATTGATGAAAGTCCTCCTTGACTTGACTCCCCTTAGACTTTAAGACATGGCCATTTAGCTGAAGCACATGCTGTATGTTTGCTGTGTAAGCTGTGGACATATGCTATAGGTGTGCCATTGATGAAGCATTTGTGCTGTACACCAACATATCCACCCTCTTGACTGATCACTGCTGATAACCATACCAAACTACCTGGCTTTGTCTATGCACTAAACCTTCAAGGCAACATAGTAGTACTACGTGCCTTTAAGTTCTGAATGAAGCAGCAAAGTGCAAAAAGTAAGGTGAGGCATGGATGGCCCTGAGGAGCCTAGAGGGTGCAAATTAATTGAGCGCCAAGAGATCAAGAATCGCTGAGATGTACTTTGGTCCAATCCATGAGATGGGTGCCTGTCATTAAGTGCAAAGCATCCTGGCAGCAGCATTACAATAAAAGGTGCCAATCTGTTCCAAAGTACAGTATTGATTTGGAAGGGTGTTTTCTAAGTGAGCCATGAGGATATGGTGAGGTTGGTGCATGTATGATGCCAACCTCCATGAACAGGAGGTGCAAGCAGTTGCTGCCTATGGAGCATGTCCCAAGATATTGGAGACTGCTATCCATGCTGGTGGCCTGAAGGAACAAGCAACAAGCTTGACCTGCCAGGAAGCCTCTCTGACTTTTGTGTTGGGAACTGTCACTATATAGTTTCTCCCAGCCATGTGGGAGAATGGGAAACTGCATATAAATCAGGCGAGATTTGGTACTAATGATATGTTAATGCATGCAAATAGGCCTGTCATTGCTCACTCAAGAAATGCTCATCTCATGATTTAAACTTTGGTGGCAAAGACATTTTTTTCTAACATTGACAGACTAATTTTTCCAGTCTTGCCATATTTTCCCAACTGACTGCCACTGTCCATATCATTCAAGAGCTGGGAAATTCAGCTCATAGTTTTTTTTTTGAATTGTCAGTGAAATAACTACACAGAGACTGGTATCCTATCACTAAGTCACCCTTTACTTACATGTGCATAGTACATGGGTTCTGACCAGCCAGCTCCAATCCCAGCCCTAGAATGAGGATACTCTCTGACAATCCCGTTTATATCTATCAGTCAGGGGTCCCTGATTGGCCCAGGTTAACAACCCCAATCAAGGATCTCATAGTCAATCACTACATCCCTCCCTCCTTAAGTCCAGGGATGTAGGCCTGTGTAGCTTCTCCAAATGGCAGTCGTATATTGGGAAAAACACTTATGGGTATTAATTGTGGCATACTTCTGGGACCCCTTGTTTTGTTGCAATTGCAGATATGCATGGCGCATGTCCAGCTTCATGAAGGACAGTACTCCCCCACCAATTTTGCGTACAAGTCCTGTATGCAAGGGACTGAGTATTTATCCAGCTGCGAGGAGCGATTTACCATTTGCTTAAAATCCCCACAAAGGCAAACTGAGGCGACAGTCTTCACAGTCAGTACAACCGTTGCTGCTCATTCCGCAAATTCGACTGGTTTGATGCTTTCTTCACTTTCCAGGCACCTGATTCCTGCCTCTACTTTTGCCCATTAGGCAAATGGCACTGGGCACGCCTTACAGAATCGCAGAATTGCTTCCTGGTCAACATATAAGGTGGCCTTGGCTCTTTGATAGTCCTAAGACCTTCCTAATAAATGCTTGGGTATTTAATTAGAACTTCACCCAGGCAGCCATTTTCGAATTCAGAAATGTTCAGTTCATTAACGTGAATCTTTCTCAACCAATTTTGCCCCATTAAGCTTGGGCCCGAGCCTTTGACTACACCAACTGCTTCTCATAAAAGCCCAGAACTGATGTCCTACTATTGCATCCATCATAGAGTCTAATATCTTGGGACATGGTCCATGGGCAGTGACCGTCTGCACAGGGGCTGGCATCCTGATGCCAAGTTACCCTTTACTTACATGTGCATCTGTAATGGTTCCTCGGTGTATGTTCTCAGTCTGGCCAAGGTCTTGTGCAAACTTAAAGGTGGGAGTGCTGAGAAACTCTTGTTAAACCACTGATACAGCTGCACTGATATCGACCTCCATGAGAGACGTGTGACCATTTAACCAGACCCTTACTTTGATTGTTTCTGATTTGGATATTGCTAAGCAATTTAACTGTTCCCAACCACAGGTAGGTGGACTTTCCAGAGTATGCATTCTCCTGGATACTGGCCTACGAGTTCTCTTACTCAAGTCAGGCCTCATAGGACTCCTTTGCTGTCTCGAGTCCGCATACCGGCAGCAACTACAATGGCTTGCCGGCCCAGATCCTTATTTTAGCCAGTTGGCCGAGTCTCAGCTTTGTTGTGGGGTTTTGTTGTGGCCTGAAGGGTCCCTCTGCTCACGATATGCCCTGCATGAGGCCCTGTGATTGCCTACACTCAAGTGGTATTCCCCAAGCTCAGTCAGACTGGTGAGGGTGTCCATTTCCATTGGGATGTCCTGTAGCTCGCATGCTCCACTTGTGCATTTTCCAATGATAAAGCCAGTTGTAGCAGCTGCTTGGAGTCCAGTTGAGCTTCAGCTAGTAGGCACATACCAAATGGACTCTCAGCATCTCATTCGGGGTTAGCCCAAAGTCACATACTTCTGCCAGTCGTCTTCACCTTGTCAAAAATCCTGGTACGGATTCCCCTGGTTCTCAAACAATCGAATAAAACTGATAGCATCTCAGAATTCATGGAGGCTTGGGGTCATAATATTCTTTAAATAAATCCATCAATTCCTGAAAGGTTTTAGTTTTTGGTGCCTCAGGGCGATTTAGGCTCCGAATAACCGAAAATGCCATGGGTCTGCAAGCAGCCAGAAGGATTACTCATTGCTTTTCATCTGCCCCAGTGTCATTTGCCTGAAAAAATAATGCATTCTTTCCACATACTGAGCCCAGTCTTCAATGGCAGGGTTGAATGAGTCAAGGTTCCCAAATAAAGACATGATGCTAGAAATGCTTACCCCAACTCAAAGATAACTATTGTGTGTGAATTTTCTTCAGGAACATACTGTTTTCTCTCGTTGCCACTGAAATAACTGCATAGAGGCTGGTACCCTCTCAGCAAGTCACTCTTTATTTACCTGTGCATAGTACATGGGCTCTGATCAGCTAGCTCAGAGCCAGTTCCTAGAATGTGGAGATTCTCTGACACTCCTGTTTATATCTTTCAGCCAGGGCTCCCTGATTGGTTTAAGTTAACAACGCCAATCAAGGATCTCATAGTCACTGAGATCCACCTGGCTCTTATTTCAATCACTACAGTGAGATGACATTTTCGGCAGGAGAAATTAATTTGTGTTTGTATCATTTTGCAAAGTTCTCCTTAGATGTCTTCTGGTTGTGAAATTCCAAAAAGTATGCAAACCACAGCTTGTATTTTGAGAGGTCCAAGCTAATGTTCTAAGCATGAGTTCAAATCTTACATGGTAGTTAATAACTAAATTAGGAATATAAAGCTACTGTCAATACAGCTTCCATTGATTGATAGTCACAACACATATAGTTCACTAATGTTCTTTACCAATATTCAACTGGAATAATTGAAACAATATCTAAAGTTGGATATTGAACAAATATGGACCTGACCACACAGAGGGAGTGAATGGGTCATAACTCTTGATGAAGAACTCTATATCATCAGTAGACATGTGAAAGTTCATAAGAGTCAGTGAGCAAACAAGGAAGAAGAGAGAGTCAGTAACAAAACACTGGGGATTGCAGAGATGATGGTGTGGAACAGGGAAGAATAGTTAACAGAGATATATCTGGCTCTGGTTAATGCACAGCTCAATGCACAGCTGGGTAACTGGAAAGAGGTTTCAGTGAAAAATTATATAACTGACAAGATCAAGGGCTGTAAAGAGATTTTGGAAATATAATGCAGCAGAGCGAAAGTCATAGAGAATATAGTTTGGAAGGCAGATTGGAGATGCTCAGACATAGAGCATTTAGTAATTTTTTCAACATATCAGAATATAATAACTAACTAAAGACTTTATGCAACACGATTTTCCAGTTGTGCAGTTTTTTAAAATTTAAATCACTTACAGCTTCACATTTTGCCGAACAGCTAACCAGAGACACTTCCAGTAAAGGAGACACTGCGGCAGGATCTGTGTTTTGCAAACAATTTGCGATGTAACATTGGTCACCCTCAAGGCGCTGAACCAGTGACTGACCTGGTTTCAATGCAGTGACACTTTGGAACACACAGACATCAGCCTTTTCTGAAACAATTTTATATGTTAAGTATTTATCTCAATAAAACCATTTATTTATCATCACAATTATTCAGAAAAGATAGCTTGATAGCTATTACTATTTTTAACATTAATACATTTTTCTAAAGATCAGGGTTTGTAGCAGATTGTGATTTATAATTTTTGGATTTAACAATGCACAAAAAAGATAAGTCAAACTGTTGGAGTCAAATTTATTTGAAAAGATGAAGTTTCCATAGACAATACAACGTACATCAAACTATTTCAAGGCGATATACTATGTATTTGTTTCTTAACTTAAAAATATTTCTTAATGGCTTAATTTATATCATAAATATCTAAAAATAAATGGTGAAGTACATCTATAATATATTTCACGTTTAATGATATTGGCATAACTGCACTGTGTTTGCTGGAGTCTGGAACTTAATTATAGGCTAAACAGACCAAAATAAATCTTTTTTCTCAGTTTGGTGCAAGTATCCTATTTAAAAAAAAGTGCTTCTGAAGTTGTATTTCAATTTCAGATGCAACATAAATCCACACAAAGAAGAAGTCACAATACACTTGGAAGTGAAAGTCACCATCATTTCAGAGGGCTGTACGCTGCTCTCTCATTAGAGGGAGATGACTGGTGATGAATTTAACTTGAGGATAATCACACCTCAGGCAAAGCATGAGGTTAAGATGTCACAGATTTCATGGTGACCTCAGCAGAATCAGGAATTGAATCCATGCTGTTGACATCATGCTGCATCGCAGACCAGCTGTCTAAACAATTTGAGTACAAAAATTCAACTGAAAAGTGCACAGTATGAGGGTCATTGTGAGATATAGGGAAATGCATAGTCCTTGCTTGAGAGGAGATGAAAGAACTGAAATTCTTTGGCCATTCCAACAGACATTAACTTCAGAGGGACGCTGTCAGAATGGCCCGAGTTCTACTGGGTCCCAATATGCTAGCTCTCCAGTCACTTGCTGCAGTGCAGAGAAGACTTAATTGGGGGGAAAGCTTCCATTTGTCCCAAAAGGCTGTGATGAGTCATCACATTGCAGAAATTAACTGTAGCAAATATGTCCCTTTGTTCAATCTCATTCTGGGAATAAAGTTAAAGATTTCTTTTTAGATTTTTTCCCCAATTGACGTAAAAGTATCAACGTTCACTTATCATTAATTTGAAACATCGTGGCCATTCTTACCTCCAAAAATGGATGGAGTTGTGATTTGGTCAGATGGGAGCTTAGGGCATTAGAAATTTCAAATTTCAAATTCAGAACATGTCCAATTCCAGTTTTAATGGAGTCTCAAGGTGTTGACTCTGTTTCCCTCCATGGATGCTGTCAGACCTGCTGAATTTCTCCAGCAGTTTCTATTTTTGTTTATTTCAGATCTCCAACATCCATAGTTCTTTATTTATTTTAGCAATAACAAGGATTGGGAGGAGGGGGTACTGAGAGGCCGACAGTATGACTGATTGAATAAAGTTGATTGGGGGAGGGTATAGGCAGGAACAGGGATAGTTGGGAAGTGGGAGGCCTTTAAAAATGAGATACTGAGGGTTCAGAGACAGTATGCTCCTATTAGTGTAAAGGCAAAGCTGGTGGGTGTAGGCAATGCTGGATGACGAGAGAAACTGAGGCTCCGGTCAAAAAAAAAGCGGGTAAATGTCAGGAATAGACAGCTGGGATAGAGTGAATCTCTTGAGCAGTCTGATTAAGACGGAAATCAGGAGGGCAAAAGGGGAACATGAGATAGCTTTGACAAATAGAGTTTAAGAGAATTCAAAGAGATTCTACAAATACTTTAAGGGCAAAAGAGTAACCAGCGAGAGAAGAATACCCCTTACAGATCAACGTGACCATTTATGTGTGGAACCACAGGAGATGGGTGAGATTCTAAATGAATATTTCATGTCAGGTTTTACTGTGGAGAAGGACATGCAAGCTATGGAACTTGGAGGAATAAATAGTGATGTCTTGAAAAGAGTTCATATAACAGAACAGGAGGTGCTGGAGGTCTTTAAACATTTAAAGGTAGCCAAATCCCCGGGAACTGATCATGTGTTTCCCAGAACTTTGTAAGAAGCTAAGGAAGAAATTGCTGGGCCCCCATTGAGCTATTTATATTATTGGCAGCCACGGTTGAGGTGCCAGAAGACTGGAGTTTGGCTAATGTGGTGCTGTTATTTGAGAAAGGTGATAAGGAAAAGCCAGGGAATGTAGACCAGTGAGGCTGATATCAGTGGTAGATAAGTTGTTGGAGGGGATTCTGAGGAACAGGAATAACATGCATTTGGAAAGGCAAGGACTGATTAGGGATAGTCAACTTGGCTTTTTGTGTGGGAAATCATACCTCACTAATTTGATTGAGTTTTTTTGAAGAAGTGACAAAGATGATTGATGAAGGCAGAGCAGTGGACGTTGTCTATCTGGACTTCAGCAAAGCGTTTGACAAGGATCGCATGGCAGACTGGTTGGTAAGGTTAGATCACACAGGATTGACGGGGAGCTAGCCAATTGGAAACAAAATTGGCTTGAAGGTGGGAGACAGAGGGTGGTGGTAAGAGGATTGCTTTTTGGACTGGAGCCTGTGACTAGTGGTGTGCGACAAGGATTAGTACTGGGTCCACTGCTTTTTGTCATTTATATAAATTTGGATTTGGATGTGAGTATTGGAGGTATGGTTAGTAAGTTTGCAGATGACACCAAAAGTGGTGGTCTGGTGCACAATGAAGGACGTTATCTTAGAGTAAAATGGGACCTTATTCAGTTGGGCCAACAGGCCGAGGAGTGGCAGATGGCGTTTAATTTAGGTAAATGTAATGTGTTGCATTTTGGTAAGGCAAATCAGGGCAGGACTTATACAGTTATTAGAAAGGCCGTGGGGAGTGTTGCCAAACAAAGAGACAAGTTCATAATTCCTTGAAAGTGGAGTCGCAGGTAAACAGGGTGCTGAAGAAGGCATTTGGCACATTTACAATTCAATTAACGCTCGTAACCAGAAGAAATCAACCAAAAACTAACAAGGTAAACTACAAGACTAGGAACTCACTGCAGACAGAACGAGTACAGCCACAAATATTTTGAAAGTCAAGGTCCTCTGTTAGAACTTCTCCCTGAATTTTTATTTAAAAAGTGATCAGTTAAAATTGTAAATTATTCACAAAGTTATAGACAAGCCCTATAACATTAGAAAAAATTTCAAGAAAAATCATTACAACAAGTAACAGGCTGATTATTGCAACCTAGTAATATTATACCGTTTAAAAAAATGATCTCTAAATTATGGTGAAACATACAGCATTGGAATACATTGAGTAGTCATGTTGCTTTCTAACTATTAACAGTTATGGGTGCCCATTAGCTACAGAAGTTAATTAGACAACTAGATAGATAAATAGAAAAGATACATAGGTAAATAGCAAGCTGGGAGTTTGGTGTTGGGTGACCCTTCATTGATTTTTTAAGGATCTATTGAATATAAGCGTAAATCAGAACACAGAGGCATAGAGGAGACACGAAAAATTTAGCTATACAAATAAAAATAACCACAATAATGCAAGTAAAAGTAGAAACTTGTTAATGATCCAGACAGATAATTGCCTTAAGTGGGAACCTGTTGGTATTCTCAAGGACACAGTCACTGGACATGGGACTGCAGGAATTTTCTCAGTCTTAGAATGGAAACCATTTATCTTAACTGCCAATTGGCCCAGTTTTGTCATGAGAAACTAACACTAACTGTCTAATATTGTTTATGGTCATTTCATATTGTTTATTTGTGCCAAGTGGCAAATTCCAAAGTATATAAGAATGAAAAGAAACCTTCATTTATTAAAAAGTATCTCTTGAACTATATCACTGTCCCTATGGATAACATCCAGATTTGAGCTGCCAAATGGCAAATAGTCTTTGGCATACAAGTCTCAAAAAAATCTAACCACTGCCCTTGATATTCAATGGCATGACCATTGCTGAATTTCCCACTTTTGGGTGGTTAGCATTGACCAGAAATTGAACTGGAATAACTTTGTAAATACCATGGTTACACAAGCAGTTCAAACTAGCAATCCTGCAGCAAGTAGCTCACATTCTGACTTCTCAAAGCCTGTCCACAGTTTACATGCCAGATCAAAAGAATGATGGAACATTCACTACTTTTCTGGACATGTAAAGCTTCAACAACACACAAAATGCTTGACTTCATCCAAGACAAAACAGCCCAACTGATTTCCACCACATCAACAGACATTCACTCCCTCCACCACTGACACTCAATAGCAGCAGACTGTATCATGTACAAAATGCATCACAGAAATTCACCAAAATTCTTCAGGCAGCACCTTCTAAACCCACAACCACTACCATTTAGAAAGACAAGGGCAGTAGATACATGGGACCACAACAACCCAAAAGTTCACCTCCAAGCCACTTACCATCCTGAATCCTGTTAATATATTGCTGTTTCTTTAGTGTCTCTGAGTCAAAATCCTGGAATTCCCTGACTTACAGCATTTTTGGCACCTATGCCAAGTGGATTGCTGCGGATCAAGAAGGCAGTTCACCGCCACCTTCTTCAGGACAAATAGGGATGGGCAATAAATGCTGGCCGAGCCAGCAACATCCACATACTCTGAATGAATTAAATTAGCGAACAAAACCTTTCACTAACTGTCTCCGTGATGAGTGTTGCTTGGAAAACTGGTCCCAATGAATATTGCAGTATTTTTGAGTAATTAAAACATGAAAATTGTTGAAGCAATACCTAACAAATATAGACATAATCTAATTTTTAGCAGAAACATGATATTTAAGTGCAGTTATACTGCATTGTATCAATGCAGCTGAACATTGACATCAAAAGTTGCAGGGATCCTGGACTATATCCAACTACATTGACGCCAAGAATTATGATGCAGCCTCTTTAAAGGTGTCTTTCATCAGTTAGATTTACATCTGGAAAAAAGCATAAACTCATCTCCAATAATCAATAGAAAGCCACACTGAGGTCAACTATGCGGAAGAGCTAAAGTCAATATGGAGCTTATCAGTTCTGGGGCTTGTGGGTGAAGTATACGTTGAATATGATCTATGGGACTACCCAGTAACCAGGTAGGCCTACATTCATTATGTAGCCTTCTCATAAGTACAACGTACTACAGTACAAATGTTCAGTATTTTAACAGGAAATATTTCTACTGATATTAAATCTGGCAGCTGTGCCACATAGAGTGCCACATTTTAGGTCAGTACTACATACAGTGCCAGGAGGAACCATAGAAATGTGCATGCTATCTTTATACCACTATCGCTAGAGGCCACACATGCAATGGCATGGACATTTTAGTTAATTCTCATGGGTGTGTGAAGAATATTGACAAAGGGGAGATAACAGATCGACTGAAACATCAATTGTACAAACATTGGCACTTTACCAACTTGACCACAGGACAAGATTTTTTCTTAAAAAGTGCCAGGTCCTGCTGGTCTTCTGTTATCAGTGAATAGATGCAGCAATACTCTATTCTAAATAATAAGATTAATTTATATTTCTTGAAAGTCGATGACCATGGAAACTGTAATAGACTCATTCAGAGAACCAGTTAGAGGTTTCAGCATTTGCACTATGCCAGTTGCAAATTTCATCCTTTTAAAATCTGAAATCATATTAAAAGGGGACTGGGCATTTTAGCTACCCTTTTCTGTCCTGTGTCTTGAGCCACATTCTAGAGGCATGCCAGGTTATTGGTTACAACACACAAAGTTCCATGACTAATTTTAATTACTTACCACTTTACATGAAATAATTGTATTGTTCCCACAGTTACAGGCTGTAAGATAAAACAAAATTTAAATTAATGGGAAGTTCTAATCTGTTCAAACATTGTTTTTAATGATGTATAATTACTACCTCCCCCATGTACTGTAGCATTTCAAGAAGACAAAAGGAATGGAATACAAAATTAGGGAAACTTTGTTAGAGTTGTACTGGCATTGGTGAGACCACGTCTGGAGTACTGTATACAGTTTTGTTCTCCTTATTTAATATGGTATACAAATGCATTAGAAGCAGTTCAGAGACCTTTCACAACCTATAGCTGGATGCAGGAGTTATCTTATGTGAAAAGGCTGAACAGGCTGGAGTTTAGAATAACAAGTGGCAATCTTATTGAGATCCTGAGAGATCTTGACAAGGTAAATGTTTAATGGACATTGACCTTTGTGGGGAGACTAGAATAGAAGGGCACAGTTTAAAAATAAGAGGGCTCCCTTTAAGTCAGAGATGAAGACTTTTTTTTCTCAGAGGGTCCAAATCAATATTTGGAACTTACCAAAGTCTGGTGGAGGTGGTTTCATTATTTTTTTTTTCTAGGACACAGATGGACAGGTTCTTGGATAACAATTGAGTTAAATAGTAACAGAGCTAAGTGGGAGTGTACAGTCGAGGTCACAATCAGATCAGCCATCATCTTATTGAATGACAGACCAGGTTCAAGGAATTGAATGGCCTCCTGTTACTCCTATGTTTGCAAGCAAGCTCACCACTACCTTCTCAAGGTCACTCCAGGGACAGTCACCAAATGCTGCTTTACTCATCAATTCCCACATCCTATGAAAGAATGCAATTATATAAAAAATGACTCTAGTTACCACATTGCCAATCAGGACAGCAGATTCCTGAAATAGGTTTCTTCACTAGTTTAGTTCCATCTGTACAGATCTTATCAGGAGGAGGGCACAAATTTTCATCACACTCTGAAATTAAGGAGAAAATAGGAAAGCACAAGAAGTGTTAAAATGCAATATTTCAAAGGAAGATTTACCAAGTTATTGTTTAATTTAAATCAGTAGATACTTCTCTTTGAAAATTTCAGAATAAAATAGACTGAAGCAAATGACAACTGGAGCCAAGAATACAAAAAAAATTAAATATTTGGTTCAATAATTGCAATGGCGTTGTATACTCCAAGTAAACATAATTGTTAAAAGAATTTTCTTACAGTAATTAACCTCTCGTGGAACTATGCAGTAAAAGTTTGAGCAGAGGTAAAAGCCTAGCAATAAAAATGAGAAACCATCAGGATAAAAGGAAACAGGCATATCTAAAAGGAAATGTAAAGGAAAAAAAGAGATCAAGTTCACAAAATACAAACAGAGGGAGGCTCCAAATTACAAAAGCACACACTGAATATTTGCTCACAATTGACAGGCAATGTATCTTGTTGTGGCCTTCTTCCATTCTTCCCATCCTTTACAAAGCCTTGCTCATACAACATGCACTAGACTCCATGGAGAGAAAGCAGAGTTAATGTTTTGAGTCCAGTGACCCTTCTTCAGAGAGAGGGTCTGACTCTCTGAAGAAGGGTTACTGGAGGTATTCCATTTCGGTATAACAAACAAAAGATAGGGCTTATATAACTAATGGTAGGGCTTTGGGTAGTGTTTATTGAAGAGGTACCTTTGGGTGCAGGTACATAACTCTTTGAAGTTTGGATCACATATTGGCAGGGTGGTTAAAAAGGCGTTTGGCACACTTGGCTTCATTACTCAGTCCTTTGAGTACAGGATTTGGTAAGTTGATCATGTTGAGGTTGTACAGGACATTGGTGAGACCTCTTCTGGAATACTGTGGCCAGTTCTAATCGCCCAGTTGTAGCAAGGATATTAGTAAGCTGGAAAGGGTACAGAACAAATGTACAAGGATGTTGCTGGATATGGAAGGTTTGAGTTATAAAGCAAGGTGGATAGGCTGGGACTTTTCTCATTGGAGCATAGGAGGTTAAGAGGCAACCTGATACAAGTTTATAAGATAATGTGGGATATAGACAGAGTTAATAGTAGTTGTCTTTTCCCGAGGATGGGGAATTTCAAGAACGCGGGCACATTTTTAAGGTGAGACGAGAGAGCAAATTTTTTACACAGAGGATGGTTCGAGTGTAGAATGAGGAAGTGGTGGATGTAGGTACAATTGCAACATTTAAAAGATATTTGGCTAAGTACATGAATAAGAAAGGTTTGGAGGGACGTGGGCTAAGAGCAGGCAATTGGGACTAGTTTAGTTTGGGGTTATGTTGGACTGAAGAGTCTGTTTTCATGTTTTATGACTCTATGACTGTTTGACTCCATGATTCAAAACGTTAACTCTGCTGTTCCTTCACAGATGCTGCCAGACCTGCTGAGTTTCTCCAGCAACTTCTGATTTTGTTTCAGGTTTCCAGCATCCATAGTTCTTTGAAAAGCTCAGCAGGTCTGGCAGCATCTGTGAAGAGAAATCAGAGTTAACGTTTCAGGTCCAGTGACCCTTCCTCAGAACACTGCTAAGCTTCTCCAGCAACTTCTTTTTTTGTTTCTGAATTACAACATCCGCAGTCCATTTGGTTTTTATCCATAGTTCTTTGATTAACACCACTTCTATTTCAAAATACTCATGAAACTTTATATGAATTGCTCAGCAAGTAGATTATAAATGAGAAAGTTCTAATTGCACTCACCACAATGGTATGATGGACAGCAGCGATCAGTGGTGTTGAGGTCTACAGCAAGAATATCTCCCTCATTGCACATCGGAACTGGGTCAATACACGACTCACACACTGAATTGGAAAGGAGCATTTGATACTTATCATGGGTTTAATCCACATTAAATGCATTGTCTAATATTTATCCATCTACTTAAAAAAAATCATGATGCAGTATCGACTAATACAGTCAACTACACAGAAGCCATGATTTTTAAACCAATTGTATCTAACAAAAGTATTTATTGTTCATGTCTTAATTGCTTAATTTTTTTCCCACTTTGATTCAAATTATTCTGAGGTTCAATAACTACGTCAATTGAAAATATCTAAGGTCTGTTGTCAAATTTTTGATGTTAAAGTGGAAATATATAAACCATTTAACCCTATGGTAGAAGCCCCACTGTATCATGTCTCCAGTATTAATATTTTTGGTACACCTTTGGTTCCATAGTATGTTGTGATTTTAAAATGGACTGTAATTAGCTGATGTCAATTGAGAATAGGGAACTGTCCAAGACATCAACATTTCCAGAAGTCACAGAACACGACAGAAAAATCAAAAACATCATGCAATCCTTGCACTGTGCCTGTACGTGTAACATTAGAAAGTGTAATGTAAGAGCAATTATATTTGTTGCCTTACAAAGAGGATACCTTCTCTTCAGGCCGAATCTTCCGAGGAATGGCAATCAAAGACTGAATGTGTCTCTGCTTCTTTTCACTTCCACGGCCTTGGCAATCTCTTCTTATGGGCCTGAAATTTTGCTGCAGGCCTCTTCAGAAACATGGCGAGTGCTTAATCTAGGAATCTTCCAATACAGTGCAGGATCAATGCTAGAGGCTAAATAGCAACTGTTGTAATCTTGGAATTAAAGATCCAAAGCCTCAACATGTTGGAGAGAAGGTAACAGGACTGGGGATGATGAGTGTTAAATGACAGGTAGGTGAACAAGGAAGTGGAGTGATAATTGGGTGAGGGTTAGGGTAGGAGATAAGCATGTAAGGGGGTAATGTGGATCTGGGGGGAGGTTGGGCATAGGTGTAAGTGCTAAGGTCGGGAAGGCCAGCACCAGATAATTGGGTTGGATCAGGTAAGGTTCGGTTAAGGTTATGTCAGGTCAGGTCAGATCAGGTCAGGTGTCAGGGGTGATGTCAGTTTAGGTTGGGGGTGTCAGGTCAGGTTGGATTAGGAGGGGTCGGGTCAGGTCGGAGATGGGTCAGATTGAGTTAGGTGGGGTTATGAGATACAGGGTTGTGGGGGTATTGGATCAGGAGGGTCAGTTCAATGCTCTGGTTATCATGTCAGGGTGAGCTGATGATGTCAGGTCATGATGGAGTATGGAGTTGTATGGGGTTGTATCACGTTGGATTGGAGACCGTGCTGGGTGAGTCAGGTCAGAGGGATCAGGTCAGGTCAGGGATGCGGTGGAGGTATGAGTCAGGGAAGTCAAGCTGGGGGTATCAATGGGAAGTTTTGGCAGGTGCAGGTGGTGGGGGGATGCCTTGGAGTTTTACAGTTACCCAGTGGTTAGAACTGGTTTTAGTTCATGTAACTTTTCCTGGGTAATATTCAGGTAAGTAAGCCAGATCCCTGGAGAGTCTACAAATCCAATTCAATCCAAAGTTTGGACATTTTTAACAGTCTTCCAAACAATAGGTAAGTGCCTATTCCAAGTTGATTACTGCATAGTCAGTACGTCAAGATTACTGAGTGGCTTTGCAGTGCAGTTGTCACGGTACATTGCAATGACTATCTTCCGATCAAAGGATCTGGGCAATAATCTCTATTGCATAATACACAGAAACATAGGAGAAGGAGTAGGCTATTCAACCCATCGAACCTGCTCTGGCATACAATATGATTATGGCTGATAATCCACCTCAATGCCTTTTTCCCACAGTACTCCAAAATCCCTTACGTCACTGACATTTAGAAATCTGTTAACCTCTTCTTTAAACATGCTCAATGACTGAGCTTCCACTGCCCTCTGGGACAGTGAATTCCAAACATTCATAACTTTGTAACTAAAAAAGTATTCTCCTCATCTCAGTCCCAAGTGGCGATCCCCTTATTTTGAAATTGTTTCCCCTGGTTCTAGTATTTTGTATGTTTCAATGAGATCACCTATCACTCTTAAATGTTCTATAGAATATAGTCCGATCTCTTCATTGTTCTATCACCCAGGAACAAATCAGTTGACAATAATATTGAAAATGGTAATTGCCTTGTGGAAGGCAAGTTGATTCACATAAGATTGCAAGCTTTAGTTCATGGAATATGTGGGTCTGCCAGTGGCAATTGCTTTTTTTTTGCTCTGGAAACGAGTAAAAAATGTGAACTGTAAGTCCAAATTTGAACCAAGTATTCTTACCACACTGAAAGGAGAAACAGCAAGAATCATCTTTTCGCACTTCAACAAGAAATTGGTCTTCTCTACATACTGGTGGTGAACTAGTTGGACAAGCCAGAGGATCACATTCTGTACGCAAACAACAATACCAAGAATACCATAAATAATTGAGTGTTCCACTTACAAACTCAACCAGAACAATGAACATTTTACACATGCCACACTGTAGGACAGTATTTGTATAAAACAAATTAAGAACATACAGAAATAAATGAAATCGTTAAATAAATTCAAGTTTGAACCATACAACTGTATCAGTTTGTGTCTTCAGCTTCAAACAATTACTTTACTCTAAATGTGATGTATTTTTAACATTTGCCAACACACTTCCAGCTTATATTGATACAGGTTATTTCTAACCTGTTATTTAAACTATACACCAAGGTGTGCTTCTTGCTACGTACCATTGGTGACTGTGGATCAGCCAACCATTGCATACCAAGATGATTTTTCATTTTGTCAACTTTAACCAGATCCTAATCCTTAACTATTAGCATTGCATCATCATTGAAAGTAGAAATGATCCCAAATCTCCATAAATGTCAATCTAATATTTTCTACAAACTTACCACATCGGTATTCAGGACAACAAGAAATGGCACTATAGCCTATCACCAACTTATTTCCATTCTCACATGTCAGAACATCAGTTCCGCAGATGGTCAAATTGCACTCTGCAGAAAATACACATAGTTAGACAGTTTTCATTTCTCAAGTTCGTCCCTTTTTCCAGAATCATTCCATATGCCAATGAATAGTATACTTCATTATACAATAAGTTCAAAATGTTATTTTAATTTAATTACCCTGCATTTCAATCTAAGACAAGGCATAGAATCCCTACAGTGTGGAAACAGGCCCTTTGGCCCCACAAGTCCACAGCAGCCCTTGCAGAATCCCACCCAGACCCATCCCCCTACAACGCACCAAATCTACACATCCCTGAACACTTGGGGCAATCCACCTAATCTGCACACCTTTGGACTATGGGAGGAAATTGGGGTGCCCAGAGGAAACCCTGCAGACACAGGGAGAATGTGCAAACTCCACACAGACAGTCGCCCAAGGGTGGAATTGAACCCGGGTCCCTGGTGCTGTGAGGCAGCAATGCTAACCACTGAGCCACTGAGCCACTGTGCCGCCCCAGATGGTAGAATTTTTGCAAATCAATTGAAGGGAGTAGAAATACAGAAGTCAGCATTACTATCCACTGCATTAATTCTGCATCAGATTCTATGCATGGAATTGTGAGTATACTTGCAACAGGAATCTACATCTGGAGCAAAACAACAGCAGTACCCATTCTATTAAAGAAGCAGAACTCAGTGAAACTCTGGTCAGAGTGACTGTGGCCCATGCCAGTCTGAAGAAAATTACCAGCAAAATTATTATTTTTGCTAGTACCCCTTCCCACACCCTCCCATTATCTCATGGAATAGGAGCCAAACTAATAAAGTTCCAGACCTTCAGCTGCCCACAACAGAAACTCTGCAAAACTGAAAGGCAGACTGAACAAGAACATACCTTAAATAAAGCTTTTCATTACCTTCAAAGAAGTAGAAATCCTGTCGATTAGGGAACCAGTTCAAATTATAATTTCCTAACTAGAATCAGGTTCCAGTAGTGCCCCTTAGGTTGGTATCAATTTTTACACATCAACTTGTAATTACTGGTCCAATTGAAATTTCACATTGTCTAAACTTATAATATTCCATACAATACAGAATCATTCTTGTAAAGTACTAATAATTTAAAGTATTTCTCTAATTTTTTTTTCCTTCAGAATTCATCAGTGTGGTTTTCTGTAATGTTGATGTGAACACAGAATGTGGTAAAAGTAGTGATTGAACAGAAGCAGCAAGACCAAGTGCAGAGTGATCATTCTGAGGCAGCCAGGTAACCAGGAAGTAAATGACTGAGGAATACAAAATGTGAGCAAATGAGAATACGCAAAGACAAAAAGCCAAAAAAAAAGACACACTAGAAAGAGAAAAGAATGAAATATGGGCCAGATTGTTGGAGACCAGGCGTAGATGCTCTCCAAGACCTCGCCAATGTTTTGACACACAGACTATGTGGTAATCACCCAGGGAATTTAAACTTCCAATGGACAATTACTCAGCACTTGAAATTCTCGCGAAACTCTCTACTCTGAGTTGGAATCAAAGACTTTGCAGGGTTCCCACTTACTTAACAGAAGGGTAGACATTTAACACTTCTCTAACTCTAACTATTCTACTGACACCTGCAACTACCCACACCCAACCCTCATCTGACTGCTGACACTGACCGATATCCAAACCCCTTCTCCCTGACATTTCAGCCCTTCTTCTCTGACAACTACCAGCCTCCCACTGACTTGATATGCCCCGAACACCCGATCTACCCTACCCTCTAAACCACTTACCTGCCACCTATATACCCTCCCCCACCTCCGAAACCTCACCCTCACCTTCCCGGCTCCATCCTCCCTCATTCACTTAACTTTCACCCACTTATCTTACACATTTACCTTCTCTCCTTGACAAAGTACCTTTGGATCTTTAAACCCTGAACAATGCTGATATTGTGTTAGAAAGAAACATGGCTTTGCCTCCAGCATCGACCCTTTAATGCAGTGGAGGGTTCCCAGATCAGATACGCTCTGTGTTTCACAGAAATTTGAATTGGATGTCTAATTAAAAAGGAACAGATTGGCAATCAACTGTGATGGCCACTCACTGGAAGATTCAGACAAAAATGGAAAAAATAGTACTGCCTCACTTCTAATTACTGAATGCAGTGATTATATTTGATTGGGGCACACGTGGATATCAAGGGTCTGTCAGTCTATTGAGGGTGGGGCTGGAGTCAGCGCTCAGTAGATGTCAAAGCCAGTGATTGGGGGTCAATGGTGAGTTGGTGAATGGGTTCAGTTTTATAATTAGGCAAGAGGCCAAGCATTTTAAACCCCTTTTACCCTTCCTGGATAACTATCCAGGTAAGCGAGTAGCAACTCTAGGTCTTAGACTCTAACTCAGAGTTGGAGACTTTTTCTGCTGCAGATGCTGGCTAATTGTTGACTGATGTTTAGATTTTCTGGGTAATTACCAAATCGTCAGTGTGTTGGGAGTTCCTAAGGATCCCATTGCTGCATCTGTCTGAGTACATCTGGTCTCCAGCTAACTGGAGTCTGAGAGATATGGGTCATCATTGCCTTTTTTGAAGAAAAATGCAAATTAATTCACATTTCCATCGGTTTAAACAGAACTATGCCATTTCATTCTAATAATTAACACATACCACAAATTTTCTTTGGACAACACGCTCCCTCCTCGATGACATCAATAATTATTTCTCCTTCTCTTTCACAAATTGGTGATGGTACTTCAACACATTCAGGTTCCATGGCAACAACAGTTCCATTCCCCAAGCACTTGTACATGCAGCATCCTTTATGTGATCCATTCCAGGTCTCACCTGCTGACCGTGGCTGGCCTTCATTATCTGTGCAAGCTGAAAGACAGTCAGAAATAATTATAATCAATATGACTTAAAGTTCTCTGCTTCACTAAGCTTTGGGTTTAAATGTTGAGCCTACTAGATTTGTGCTTTAATTTCAATGAGTTTGCTTCTCTTAGCTATGCCTATGTGCACTGGTTTAGCTTCATTTTATTAGGCAGTCCCCCAGAATCGAGGATAGCTTGCTCCCACATCATTTTGATGGGTTTGGAAATAAGTTCAATAAGCAATCTGCAGACTCTGTCACATGTGGGACAGGTATTGCTTGAAAGCTGAGGCAGATGATTTGTTGTGAGGTGTGTGCGCTCTTGTCAATAACTCAATTTCACCTCTCTAAGACCATGAAGCCCTTGATGTGTTCATCTTTTTCGTTTAGTCAATCACAAGCCAGGGACTTCCATGAGTCGGCAGGGCTGTTTGACGTCTTCAGGGAAGCTTTCAGGGCAACAACAAATGATTCCTTTGTCTCCTGCCACACTGAGTTCTCAGTAAAGCAGTTGTTTCAGATGCTGAGCAAATGAACACAATGTCCTACCCAGCAAAATAGGTTTTGGGCGATTAGTGCCTTGTTGATGTATGTTGACTGTGAAGAAGTCACGTTTGTTGAATCATCTTTCTTGCAATCCAGGTATGGTGGATCCTGCAAATATACCACTGCTGATGCTTCTCTAGTGTTTTAAGGTGCTTTTTATAGGTTATTCACATTTCTGAAGCAAATAGGAGTGTGTGGATCATTGCTGCCAGTAAATGGGCTTGAATAAAGGGGTCAAGTCATGCAACATCTTTATCATGTCTGAGGAAGATCAAATTGTTACTTGGAACCAATGCTTATCAGTTAGTTGACAACACCAAATGAAAAGCAAGACATTTAATAACAAACAGACACAACACATGCCAATGAGGAGGCTGAAGAACACTTTAAATATATAGGTCTCAGCATCATTTCATTCTTTAGCGGGAGATTCTTACTTGTCTGGGCACGGTGGGGGGAATGATTTCAGGGCTCCAGGCCTACTTGCTCACTATGGGGATGAACAGTGCAGATGTAATGGCAGTCCACAAGAAACCAGTATTTGTATATTGTCATAGAGCAGAAAGCCAGTGTGTATTCAAGCAGCCAGCAGATGATACATCTATGTTTGATACAGCCTTAAGTGCTCCCTGAAAATAATTCTGGACAAAATATACTGGAAATCCTCACCATGTCACTTCTCCATGTTCAACTTGAGGGCAAAGTGCAACACATGCCCAAAGTGGAATCATTTTGCAAGTTGTCAAAGTTAACTTCAACTAAGGGCTCTTTGTGGCACAGTGGTAGTATCTCTACCTCATAGCCAGGAGGCCTAGGTTCAAGTTACACCTGCTCCAGAAGTGTGTAATAACATCTCTGAATGGATTGATTAGAAAATGTCAAAAATGACTACATTAGTTCAACGCATGATTCTTCCTGAGAGCAAGATACAACATGGATATTACATTATAAAAGGCAAAGCACCTGATTACTTTAAGGAGTACTTAGTTGAGATCATGGGTGCTGGTTATTGAAGATGCCACAATAGTATCTAATTTGAGTAGCAAGTTCAATAAACGTCAACACTTTTAGTAATTTCCTCTAAATCCTGTGATAGGCATATTTCAACTCTATGACAAGTCTATTATTTGTCTTTTTTTTTGCCTATTATATTTGCCTATTATTTGGGGAATGAGCACAATTTCAATCTGCTACAAAAATTCCACCCTAGACAGGTTCATTTTCTATTCAGCCAAATTCCAAAGCCTTATGTGGTAAACCTCTTCAATAGGTTTGGATTCAAACTTGTACAGACTGCTGGAAAGCACATGACTCTGATTGATGATCAGACTATATACACCCTTATCCTTCCTTATTTACAGGATCTGGGGAAAAGGTATTGTCATGCTCCTAGCATTGACACAACAGTTCCACCAGTTTCACAAAATCTGAGACAACTGTCATTTGCAATCCACACCTAGGTGTCGCAAAAACTACAACAGCTAGAAACAGATGGTATCATTGAGCGAAACTAGCGATCGTCCAATAAGAAAACGGCAAACTCGGACTACCTGTCAACTGGCAACAATGCAATCATTCCCGACAAGTGATGCTTTCTACAATCAAAGAATTGTTATAACTCCACAGTCCACACAAAATTCAATATGTGACGGAATTATCTTCAGATCTGTCTTGAAAAGCTAAGATACTTGTATGTGAAGTCTCTGTAAATTCTAAAATGTTTTGGGTTGAATAAATGAACTGGATTTAGAACTAAAGCCACCTCTGCATTGCGATAAGTCTGATAAATAAAATCTAGAGCAACAGAGCCTAGCGCAAGCATAACATGTGGCTACAAGCCTAAACAACAGGAAGGGATGTTTGATCTCTTCCAGGATGCTTTGAGGAAATCACTAAAGAACGTTCTTTGTCCGGCTGAGATCCTCGTGCCACCAAATGATATCCCAAGTAGATTGGTTGCTTTAGGAATCTGATGTTGGATGTACAAATGGCATGTCCATTCCATCAGAATGTTGTTGTGCGATTAACGCATCAATGCTTGTCATGTTGGCATGGGACAGGATGGTGCTATTCAACCAACTTTCTGACCATTGGATTTGAAGAATCTTGAAAAGACAGCACTGATGTTACTTGTCCAATGTTTTGCATTACCTGTTGTAGGTTGTTCAAATCTCTAAAGCACATAAATATGCGGCAGTCACTCGTACAAGTAAACTATGACCTCAGGTTTGAGATCCTCAAGCGTTCTTTTCTTAAATTGGCTGAAGTTTGAGCTAGCACATGGGGTGCCTTCATAAGTTTCATGTTCTATGTTTGCCTTCGTTGAGAGGAAGTTCCCAAGGTATGGGAAAATGGTCCACCTTTGTCAGGGTCTCACCCATTGGTCTTGTTTGTGCAAATTATATTAATCGTCTTGGATTCAAGAATCCAAGGCACTTACTTCCTTTATCCTTATACCTTTCTTTATTTTACATTGCCTGTGAAATGTAGTACATGCATGCACAAGGACAAAGATTTCAACACTAATGGTAATTAATACTACTTTCACTTCTGTATTAAACTCAAAGTAAATAGTAAATCAAATATTAAATAGACAGCAAATTGTCAAGTGGAGTTATTGGTATTTGCACATATTTCTAAAATACTGCAAGATTTACTAACCACACTGTTCTTCCGTAATACAGTAGTTAGAGTCTGGTTGATGCAGCAGAGTTCCTCGAGGACAAACACAACTCTCACTAACAAATGAACAGGTTGAGTCGTGCTCCAAATAGAAGTCTTTGTTCTGACATGTTTTACTTTCACAAGCTGGCACACAAGGTTGGTATTCCATGCCTATGGGGCAGCTAAGTGCTGTATGCAAAATAGTAGAATCATATTACAGAATTATCAAAATCTAGCATATTAAATAACCCTCATAAGTACAGCTGTTTTGCTTGTGTAAATATCTTATAGAATAAATCACAAAGAAGCAAACAAAATCTATGCAGCTCCACTCAGTGTATCCCATTCAAGATGGGACCCATTAAGATCATCACCTCTTTAAACTTGATAAGTACTTCTAAAATGTTTGCTACAATTACAGTTTAAGTTATTACTGGCCAAGTCAGATTCTAGACTAAAATCTGGCTCGATAGATCATATTTTAGGTTGTTTTCAATTAACATGGTTGTCCTTCACGAAAGCACAAGCACACAATGTTGCAGATTTTGTTTTAACAATAAAACAGAAGTATATCATGAGAAAAAAGATAAACTAGAATAATCCAAGCCATGTACAAATAACACAGTTTCAAAGTTTTCACAGCATATATTAAAATAAATCCTATCATAACATCAACACTTTAATCAAATACCAAAGTTTTGGTTTAACTGTTTCCTTCAATTCGTGGTCTGGAGAGTTTAATGGCCTGTTCTTTGATTAGTCACACAATTGATTTTAACTTTCTGAGCATCAAATAATCTATTCAGATTTCTAACCAAATACTTCTGGTCTCGAATGTTCAACCAGAAACCTCACACCAAGATAACCTAAAATGCATATTTAAGAAGATTGTCATTACCCATCAAAAATTTTCTTAATACTGTTTCTATGCCACATTAATAGTAGTAACAGATTGACATTAAATATATAATGAGTTACATAGCAATCAATTCTACATAGGTTAATGAGCATTTCAGCTTTCAGTGTCCTTCATATATACTTTCAATAAAATAACTGCTATATCATTTTCTTTTCCAGGCACATGAATGATTTTCAAAATATACAGTTGGAGAATTAAGCTCCTCCAAAATAATCAGAAATTCTTGCCCTGAAACGTTTCCAAGAAAATCCTTTATAAACAACATTTTCTTTCACATTATTGGTGGTGTGTATTTCAAAATGTTATAGAACCAACTTAAGACTCAATGTCTCCTTGTTAACTGTTGAAGACTATTGTTAACAGCCAGTCAATTCATTTGGAAAATACCTGGCAGCCCATTCAATGCCCTTCTAGCAGTAAAATAGCTCTTACACTGATGTTGCTAGCATCAATGGCCAGTTTGAATTCCTTCTCATAATTCAGCATAACGAAAACCAATGAGGTTGTCAGTATAGCTTTCAAGTTGCAAAAGACACTCTGACATTCTTGTGCCCATTCAAATATTCTGCCTTTCTTCGATAAGTTTGTTAAAAATTGAAATGGTTCAGTCAAATGGTTTCCATGCTTGGCTAAAAATCTCTCTGATTTTAAACCTCTCACAAAACAAACCAAATCTCATGTTTACTCCAGGAGCTGCTCCCTCAAAAATACTGATACAGAACATAGAACATAGAACATTACAGCGCAGTACAGGCCCTTCGGCCCTCGATGTTGCGCCGACCTGTGAAACCAATCTGAAGCCCATCTAACCTAAACTATTCCATTATCATCCATATGTTTATCCAATGACCATTTAAATGCCCTTAAAGTGGGCGAGTCTACTATTTTTGCAGGCAGGGCATTCCATGCCCTTACTACTCTCTGAGTAAAGAACCTACCTCTGACATCTGTCCTATATCTGTCACCCCTCAATTTAAAGCTATGTCCCCTCGTGCTAGCCATCACCATCTGAGGAAAAAGGCTCCCACTGTCCACCCTATCTAATCCTCTGATCATTTTGTATGTCTCTATCAAGTCACCTCTTAACCTTCTTCTCTCTAACAAAAACAGCCTCAAGACCCTCAGCCTTTCCTCATAAGACCTTCCCTCCATACCAGGCAACATCCTGGTAAATCTCCTCTGCACCCTTTCCAATGCTTCCACATCCTTCCTATAATGCAGTGACCAGAACTGTACGCAATACTCCAAGTGCGGCCGCACCAGAGTTTTGTACAGCTGCAACATGACCTCATGGCTCCGAAACTCAATCCCTCTACCAATAAAACCTAACATACTGTACGCCTTCTTAACAACGCTATCAACCTGGGTGGCAACTTTCAGTGATCTATGCACATGGACACTGAGATCTTTCTGCTCATCCACACTAGCAAGATATAAAAGTCATAACTCCAGAAATACTGACAAGTTAATCATTAACTGTCATACACCCAGACAAAAATACACATGCTACTAGTCCCAAATCCAAACTCTAATACAAATGATATTTACATATAAATCATGCATCATGTTTGCACAATTCAAAATCTACTCACAAGCAAAGTTCTTCAACCAAAATGTTAGTTGCAACTGCTTGGCTTAAAAGTGTTGCAGAGGCAAGATCAGCCTCAAAAGTAATCTTGGTCAAATTACAAAGCAGCTAATAGATTTTCAGTAAAATGTCCAATGACATACTGTTGTATTCATTAATATCTTTGTGTCATGTTTCAGAGTTCTTTTGCCAGTGCTATTATGTCATTAAGTTAGAGGCTGTTCTGAAGTGATTCAAAACACGGTACAGTGAAGCTGGTGAACAGTCTGAATGAGAATGTCTCAGACAACAAATGTAAGTTTGGAGACTGCAAGAGACAATAGACAATTTTTGAGGAACGGATGTTTATTATTGAGGATCAAAGCATGAGCTATCTGCTGAGTATGCACCTTGGAAGGTTTAGACATGGCAGGTGTATTGACAAAACTTTGAATAGAGGAACAATATTAGATTATGGGCAGGATTTTCATCCTAGAGCTGAGGAGGAGGGGCAAACATGTTTCCTGGCTCGACATGCCTGACTTGGTAGAAAGTGCCAGGATTTTCATTTGGGGGAGGGGCATGCTGAAGTGGGCTGATTAAAATGCTGATCTTGGTGATCCGGGACTTCATCCCAGTTGTAATAAAAGTAACAAAATAGGACTCAGCCCCCTCACCCTCAGCCCTTACACCACCTCACTTGCCCACGCACTTCCAATATCATCCCTTGCCAACCTATGTCTCTTCAACATCTCCCCCAAACCATGGCCCCTCATTCTCATGTTAACGTATGTCCCTCTACTAATCCCTCATTGCTGCTCATATTGAACACGCCAACCTATGTTCTTCCACCTGTCTCCCCATGTTCTCTCATACCTCCAGGGAAACTATAGCCTTCCACCCAGCCCCCTTGATCTCTCAGAGATAATGTTCTCTCTGAGCTGCACACAGCTGCTCTGAGGGCCTGCACATGGCAATTGGGGTGTTAATGCCATTCATAGCATTCACTTCCAGTTTTGGAAGTCACTGCCACGTACAGACCTCAGGGGCCCGAACAGAAAAAAATGTCAATGGGAACGCTGCTCATAAATCCCATGCCAAACAATGGCAGTCCTCTTTCTGTCCAAACAGTGTACACACTGTAATTGACTCTAACATAACAATGTCAGGTGTGTAACAGGTCATTTTTGGGAAAAAATGCCATTCACTGAGAACTTTCTGGAAAAACAGCTTTACTACAGTTCTACAACATTGTGAACAGACTTTTAAGTATCAATTCCAGAAACTTCCTTAAATAAACATATTTGATAAATAGGTGTAAGATGAAAAGATGCTAATCAATCAATATGTTTTTCCTTTTAGCACAGCTTTTTCAACAGGTAACTGGATGTTTAGACTCTCAGCCAAGAGTACACAATGAGGTTTACCTGGGAACCCAGACATCCATCCACGTCTATACATAGCTGTGCCCAAGGAAGAACATTACTTAAATAACTGTTTTTTTCATATATTTCTCAAATGCTTAATGTTTATTTGCATAAGATAAAGAAGTGTCATGTGCTTGAGACTCTGCTACAGATACTTTAAAGGTCTGTTTGTTTGACACTTTATATAGAGCTGTAGTAAAAGTTTTGTTACAGAAATTTATGAATGACTATTTTGTTTAAAGTTTTTTTACCTACGATGTTGATTCTGTGCGAAGTATACACCGGGTGAATGGCACAGAAGTGCCATAAGTTGGCATGGGATTTGAGGGACCATGGGGAAGAGTGGAAGAGTGTATATAACATAAGATCACAGAAAAAAAATAAGAGATGGAGTGGGCCATTCAGTCCCTCAAGCCCGGCCTTACTATTCAACAAGATCATGGCTGATCTGCTCCAAGCCTCAATTCCTCTTTCATTCCAGCTCATCATAGAGTCATAGAGTAATACAGCACAGAAGCAGATCCTTTGGTCTAACTCGTCCATGCCGATGAAGTTACCCAAACTAAACTAGTCTCACTTACCTGCATTTGGCCCATATCTCTCTAAATCTTTCCCATTCCTGTACCTGTTCAAATGTCTTTTAAATGTTGTAAATGTACCTGCATCCAACACTTCCTCTGGCAGTTCATTCCATACATGTGTGAAAAAGTTGCTCTTCAGGTCCCTTTTAAATCTTTCTCCTCTCACCTTAAAAATATGTCCCCCAGTTTTGAATTCCCCCACCCTACGGAAAAGGCCTTTGCTATTTACCTTATCTATGCCTCTCATTATTTTATAAACCTCTATAAGGTCACCTCTCAACCTCCTATGCTCCAGAGAAAAAAGTCCCAGCCTATCCAGCCTCTCCATATAACTCAAATGCTCCAGTCCCAGCAACATCCTGGTAAATCTTTTCTGAAACCTTCTCCAATTTAATAATATCCTTTCTATAGCAGAGCCAACGGATAATTCTCAGTCTCTGATATTTCAAAATGCAATCCGCCTTCTCTCTAAATGCTATCTGTGATCTAATCTCTACAACTCTCTGGATTAGAGAATTGCAGATATTCACTATCATCAGGGAGAAGAAATTCCTTCACATCTCATCACATAAATGGATATTGTCTTATTCTATAACTAAGCCCTCAATTTCAAGACTCCATTGGAAATTCCATTGGAATTGTTGGAAACATCTTTTCAACATTTACCCTGCCAAACCACTTCCTAATCTTGTGTATTTCAATAAAATCACTTCTCATTCTTCTACATGCTAATGAATAAAGGCCTAACCTGTTTATCTGTTCTTGATAAATCAACCTCTTTATCCCAACAATCAGCCGAGGTGAATCTCTTTTGAAAAGCCTCCGCTGCTGATATTATTTTTATAAATACAAAGTCCAAACTATGCACAGCACTCCAGGTGCAGTCCCACCAATATTGTTACCACTGTAACAAAGTTTCCATATTTTTAAAACCCAACCCACCAACAAAAAAGGCCACATTTCATCTGTCTTCTTAATAATTTGCTGCACCTGCATATTAACTTCGTTTTCATGTACAAGTACATTTATATACCATTAATCCATAAGACATAGAAGCAGAAATTAGGCCATTCGGTCCATCGAGTCTGCTCCGCCATTCAATCATGGCTGATAAGTTCCTTAACCCCATTCTCCTGCTTTCTCCCTGTAACCCTCGATCCCCTTGATAATCAAGAACCTATCTATCTCAATCGTAAACGTACTCAATGTAATCCTGACTCTCTGTCTTCTGAGTATTAACTGAATTCATGCTAACTCATTACCCCAATCTCTTATGCAATAATCTTTTATGTGGCACCTGAAAATCCAAATACATATCAACTTTATCTACTTTATCAACTCAGCTTATTATATCCTCACTGATCTCCAACAAATCAAGTCAAAAGTAGGTCGCTGTGACAAATTCCTGGAATTCCTTGCCTAACAATATTGTGGGTCTACCCACAGCATATGGACAGTAATGGTTCAAGAAGGCAGCTCACCACCACATTAGGGACAGGCAATTAAAACTGGCCCAGCCAGCAATGCCCACATTTCACAAGAGAATTAAAGATTGTCAAACATGATTTTCCTTTCACAAAGAAACATTTACTCTTATTGTATTAATCTCCTCTAAATGTCCGCTATTTCTGCCTAAATTATGGACTCTAACATTTTTCCAATGACAGATGTTAGGCTAACTTGCTGGTAATTTCCTGCTGTCTTTCTCCCTCTCTTCTTGAACAGGGATATCACATTAGCAGTTTTACAATCTGCTGGAGTCCTCCAAGAATCTAGTCAGTTCAGGAATATTTTGACCAATACCTCCACTAACTCTGTTGCCTCTTCCTTTAAAACCTTTGAATCCAAACCATCAGGTCCTGGTGATTTGTCTTCCTTTAATCCCATTAGTTTGTCAAATACATTGTCCTTCATGATAGAGACTGTAATAAGGTCTTTTCTCCCACAAGTATCTTGCTTATCTATTATCTTTGGGATGTTTATAGTGTCCTCCACATGTCAACTAAAGCAAAATATTAGTTTAAATTATCTGCCATCTCCTTGTTCCCCATTATCAATTCCGTATGTGCATCCTCCAAGGGTACCACGCTTACTTTAACTCCTCTCTTTCTTTTTAAATATTTTAAATATTTGCTTATATATTCCTTGCCAATCTACTTTCATCATCAATCTTCTACCTTTTTACTAGAGTTTTGGTTATCCACTGCCGGTTTCCAAAAAGATTCCTAATTTTCCTGACTACCACTAATTTTCACTGCTTTGTAATGCATTAGCTTTTGAATGGATTCATCACCTTTGTTAATCATGGGTGGTTCATCCTACTTGTCAATTTCTTATTTAGGAGCAAAATAAAATTTTTCTGAACATTATGAAAGATCAGCTTAAATACCTGCCATGGTTCACCCATTGACATTCTCAGCCTATTTTTGCTTTAGAAACTCCTTCTTCATATCTCTGTTATTGCCTTTATTTAATTTGAGGACACTGGTTTGAGACCCAAGTTGCTTTCCCTCACACTGAATTTCATATTCTACAATGTTGTGATTGCTATTCTATAGAGAATCCTTAATTATGAGATCTCTTATTAATCGTAACTCATTACACATGACTAGATCTAAAATAGCCTATTCCTGAGTAAGTTCTATAACATCCTGCTCTAACAGGCAATCCCTGATACATTCTACATATTTATCTTCCATTTCACCCTTGCCCATCTGATTTATCCAGTCAATATGCAGATTAAAATCACCGATGACAATTGTAGTGCCCTTCCTACATGCTTCCATTTTTTGCAAATTTATACTTTGTCCTACAAATGGATTCCCATACTGCCTCACTCATCATCATACCCTCCTGTCCCTGATCATAGACTACATTTGATGCAATTAATCCAAACGATGCGACTGCCTCCGGAAACACCATGTTCAGGTATTGCTCCCCTTTCCTGATGTGCAACAGTGTCTACAGTTCATATTCCAACTCATTAACTCTGAGCCTAAGATCCTCAAACAGCCAACATTTGCTGCAAGTGTCATTGCACTGGTTTCAACAAGGTCCCATGTACTATAGGAACAACACATCACCTAACTAGCTACCTCTATTCTATTTAATTAACTTGGATGCTAAATGTTTTAAAGATGTATTTCTTATTTGCACACTGTAGGTTGGCATGGGGGCAGAAGTTTCTGAAAGAGGGTATGACCTGAACTTACTCTTCAAAAACATTTTCTCATCCAAAGTATAGTTCACTTCTTGACAAACTATCCCAACTCTATGAAAATTGCTAGGAGGTCGCTATCCCAGCAGTGAAGCCAACCAAATTAGGATTGCAGGACATGGGCTCACAATCTGTACTAGGATGCATCTTACCCCACCTTGTCAAAAGTTTCAGTTTCAGAAATGAGAGTAGGAACCCTGAATGAGGTTCCTACAAATCCAGACCTCAAACTTCCCATTCCAGTGTGCAAACCAAATTTAGAGCCAATCTATATCAAATGATCAGGAGAAGTAACGTTAACCTGCTAATGTGGTGGCTTTTAAATTACTTCTCTTGTTGTAAAGACCTGTGCAATTTTATAAACAAAGTAAAATTTACTTACATATGTTACACTGTATATTCACTTGGTCACTGCAATTAGTATGACAGTCTCAATATAATGACACCATCAGTGAAACAATGTCAAGGACAGGAATTAAGCCCCACATTAGATTTTTTCTTCATTTACATTCTGTAGTACCAATGTAGGAGACTTGATAGCAATCAGTTCAGCCATGCAAAAGCAGATGCGAAGGGGCATTTACTGTCATTTCACTATGTTTAATTTATATAGCAACCATTAGCAAATCTAAAAACTTACGACAAAATTCTGGAGTCCTCCATGGAATGCAAACATTGTATTTATTGCAAGCAGCTGCATATAAAGCCAAAGCATCGCATTGATGTGTCACATAGTGAAAATCCCTGATCCATAGTTCACAAAATATTTCTGGAGTAACCTTGAGGTGAACAAGACACTTGTGAAAATCAATATTAAAACAACATGGATCCTTTAATTTATCATCCTTTGATCTGATTAAAAAAATCAATCTATACATCTCAAAATATTGTTATTTAAATAACTGATATTATATGCCCTAAATTTTACATCATCATGAAATTTCATGAAATAATTTTACTATTGTACAATGATTACTCCAGCTTTGACAACTTAAAATTAATCATACTCGAAAGAAACTATGTAACGTTTTTCTGACTCAAAGTTTATATTGAGAAATGTAGAAATTTATACAAATGATTCATAACAACTTGATCCTCCCACTATTTGTAAGTAACTCTTTTCTTGGCCTATGTTTACAGAGATCCCTTTGCATTGATCCTCCTGTAAGGCGAATGAAAAAGGGTGTTCCACATAAATACAAACATATTGCATTGTCAACATTTTATTACTTTTAGTGCGCTTAAAAATTGACACTGACAGCTTACAATGGGACAGTGAAAGAATGATTCATTAATATTTCATCAACTGCATTCAAATAATGCATAACTTTAAATGTGCCGTGCAATTTGTAAAAAGGAATAAATCTTTACTCACATGTTGATGGCACAGCGTCCAAGGATTCTGATTCAACATATCAAAACAAGCAGTACAGTTACCAGTGGTGCAGTTCTGTTTTCGGCATCTAAAGCAGTTAGTTTCTAGCCCAGATGTTTCAACCATCCAACTTTCAAGGAAAAGGCCTACATTTTCAAATTCTGTGACAATGGTTCCATTTGGTAGCTTGAGATCGTCAGCAGGATTGCCATTACAACAGCCTAAAATGAACAGATATTGATTGACCGTAAAGGTTAGTGGTAACTGTAATGATGTTGCAATTATATCATTCTGGTTAATTGCCTGAAAAGGGCATACAGACTTCTGTATATTATTTGTTGCAACCAATGTTTGTTTCAATGAATGAATTTATACAGTGCTAGGTATTAATATTATGAATTAATCTCAGCAAATATGCAATCACATGTCTATTCCATGCATGATAAATCATTAACCAAATCCCATTAAGATACCAAAATTTCAGGTATTGTGATTATGTACCACAGTTACACCCTAGAAGATCCCAGCCTAGGTTTCTGGGCCTCTGTTGGGTGACTGAAAAAAGACAATGCAGCAGTTATGGATTCTATATTTGTCCAAAAATGGCTCAGACAGGACAAAAATCCACCAAGGATCTCTTTTCCAGCATAATTCAGTGACATCTATGAGAAGGTGCACATGTTAATCAAAGACAGCATTAGTTTAGCTGTTATGCATCTGTATAATAGCCTCCCAATACTTGCCACCCAATGTTTAAACATGAAGAATGAGCCCAATATAAGCAGTAGCAGTAAAAAGCCAAAGACATTGAGAGTGTTTGTGGGGGAAGGGAGAACACTTTCCCTTCAATTTAATAGTCACAATAATTGTTCTCATCTTTATTTTCAGATGAGTGCTGCTCCAAAACTCAGGAACTACTTTTGTTTTTTTTTATTTATTCATTTGAACAGTGAATCCTTTCTCATTAACAAGGGGAAACTTAATAGGAAAAAAAAATGAAGTCACTAGAAAAGCTCAGCAGGTCTGGCAGCATCTGTGAAGAAAAATCAGAGTTAACATTTCATGTCTGGTGATCTTTCCTCAGAATTCAGACCGTTCCTCAGGGAAATTTAATAGGACTGACATTTGGTCTTTTCAGTCTTGAAATAAGATATACTCATCTGTGCCAACGTACACATAAATCATACTGTCAGTGCAAGAAATATTTTCAGCCTCCAATACTCTGGATATTAATCAAGCAAGCAAACTTTAATGTCTACATTTAAAAATGCAGTATTAGTTTAGATCAAAAAGTTTCACATATATTAATTAAGGTATATGTTTTCTATTGGAATGAATTTCGTTGCAAATTTTTTATCTGCAAATGTTGTGATTTCTTTAAACACTATATTCATGATGTTATTATTGTTAAATATGCAATTGGAACACAAGAATGAGAGTAGGCCATTGATTCCATCGAGCCTGTTGCCACATTAAATGTGATTAGGGCTGACCTACAAGTGACCTACTTCTTATACAAGTGCTAACAGGAGTAAACATCCTAAAAGTGACTGGATAATATTTCCTTGTCAGACTGTCGGATCCAGTTTAACAGGAGAAAATAAACAGAGTCACAGAATAAATTATCCTTTGTGACATCCTGACAACCATCAATGTCACTATCTTGTTGTGTCAAAATCGACATACTGGACATATGTAATGCACTCTTCTGTATCCTTAAATATTCCAGCATCAATACTATATTACACACATATACATACACATACAGGGCATAAGAAATCAAATCCTTTTATATTTGTATAAATATCTAAAATATATTTGTTCTAAAAAGCTTGTAAGAACAAGCCCAGTAATTACAGAATAGACAGTTTCAATTTAATCATGGGTAAGCTTCAAGAAACAATTATTTCGGACGGAATTAGTGATCACATGGAAAAAGATGGGTTGATTAGGAAGAGTCAGCATGATTTTCTAAAGGGGAACTAGAGTTTGAATAACTGGCTGGATTCTTTTGAAGAAGTAACAGAAAGAATTCATGAGAATCATGAGAATCATGTGGCTGAGGTGATGTGCATGAACTTTCAAATGGCATTCAATACAATGCCACACAACACTTATGAGAAAAGTTATAGCTTATGGAATAAAAGGGACAGTAGCCATGTGGATACAAAATTGGCTGAGTAATGGGAAACAAAGTGCAATGGTCAACAGATATTTTTCAGGCTGGAGAAAATATTGTAGTAGAATTCCTCAGGAGTCTGTACTGGGACCTTTTCTTATCCTGTTATATATTGATCTAGATCAGTGGTCTGTAACCTTTTACACACACAATCACTTTTTTAATTTAAGTCCAGTCCAGGATCTACCTCATATATCCACATATATACACATATATATGTATATTTATATATAATATATATTCATTTCAATGCAAATAGATTGACTTGAAGGCTGTTTAGGGCCAGCGAGGTGTGGATGAAAGTGCATTGGTTGGTATGATGATTTTTGAGGGATCATAAAATTGGGCAGATAAACATAGGTTGACATGGAGACTATGAGGTGCCTTATGGGGCTGATGAGGGCATAGGGAGGCTTGAGGAGCTATAGAGGTTGTGTAGGATTATGCCAAGGCATGGCGGAAACATGGGATGACATAGATTGGCATGAGAGGTATGTAAGCTTGAATGGATGTTTCATGCTTTTCCTTAAATTAAATTTGTTAAAAATAATTGTGTCACACTTCTACTTGAAAACAGCAATGAACCAGAACTGAAGATGAAGGGAATATCTTTTAGAACTTAATAACTACAATTAAGATGGAAATGATGAATGAGTACAAACTCAAATTACGGATGACAGGAAAACTTTGGGAACAACTCATGTCTACAGTTCACTTACCACACAAGCCTTTAGTTCCCATAGTTCTGTTGGATGGCAAACCAAATTCTAACACAATGACGCCTGTACTGCGATACCATTGAATTGTAACTCCAGCAGGAGTTGTAATCAGATACATCGCTCCAGTATCCTGTATATGGAAGCCTAGTTTTGTGAACGGAAGTCGAGCAGGTCTTGAGTTTACTGTTGTCTGCAAAGAAAATAAATGCAACTGAAATCTTGCCATACAATAGCCTTCACAAGTTGAACAATTAATGTTTTGTGAGGAATTGATTTACAGTAAATATATTGAAACAACAATAACCTGCTGTACCAGACTGCGTTTAGATTCATAAACAGAAGTCACAACACGAACATACTAATCTTTCAGACTATTTCCAAGCAAAAATGACAAATTAGGAGCACTGGTTGCTGTTGCTCACAAGGAACCAGCTACAGAGACTACCTTGACTCACTATACATCATTTCATAAAACTAGCAAAGGTTTGAATATTTCATAGCTTGGATACAACTCATCACAGAGGAATGGTCCTGTGGTGTACAATGCTTTCAGTTCTGGTCGCCACATTACAGGAAGGATGTGGATGTTTTGGGGAGGGTGCAGAAGAGGTTTACCAGGATGTTGCATGGATTACAGTGTATGAGCTATAAGGAAAGGCTAGAAAAACCCAGGTTGTTTTCTCTTGAGCAGCAGAGGCTGAGAGGAGACTTAATAGAAGTCTATAAAAATTATGAGATGCATAGATATGGCTGACAGTCAAAATCTTTTTCCCAGAGTTGAAATGTCAAATACTAGGGGGTATGCATTTAAGGTGAGGGGGGAAAGTTCAAAGGAGACGTGAGGGGTAAGTTTTTTACACAGAGCGTGGTAAGAACCTGGAATGCAGTGCCAAGGGTGGTGGATGAGGCAGATACGATAAGGGCATTTAAGGGACTTTTAGATAAGCACATGAATATGCAAGGAACGGAGGGATATGGATAAAGGGCAGGCAGAATGGATTGGTTTCATTTGGCATCATTTTTGGCACTGCATCATGGGCCAAAGGGCCCGTTCCTATGCTGTGCTGTTCAATGTTCTATGTTCTAATGCTTCTCTCAGCTTAATATCAAATTATTGCTGGACCCCAGCCTCTGTATTTTCAGTTGCCTTGTAGCTGGATTATCTCCCAGAATGATTGCTCCTCTTCCTGACGTCTTCCTTTCACAGTTGCCAGATCATCCCTCCAATTGTCTTAATTCGAATCTTAACCTCTGACACTCCATGCTAATCTACTCCTTTCCCAGTCCTTTTCCTTTCATCATCTTCTTTCTAATTGCTTTTCTCCACAAATGCCTTTCTCTATTCTGCTCAGCAGTTGTCTACTTTTACCAATTATTCTCCTCCCTATTGATTCCTTTCTCAACCATCTTCTTCCTAAAGTCACTCTACGTCAGATGCATCTAATGCTGATCCATTCAGGTACTTCCAGCTCATGGTCTATAGCACAAATTATTTCTAAGCTGACTATTTGAGACAAAGGATAAATGCAAATTTTTATTTACTGTTACTGTGTTTTGCTATAAATATCATGCACCGTAATTAACTGTATGAATAAAATGAACAATTAGAAAATACAGATTTAAAATAAATAAAAATAAACATGAAAGAAATAAAAAAAACACTGTATTGTCTGGCAGCCAAAGTAATGGCATGAGATGGAAGTTATGAAATTAACAAATGTGGGAAATGCAAAGGTAAAAATATGATCTCTGATTTATATGGATGATTTTTGTTCAATGATATATAAATTCTTGCAGCATAGATTAATAATAACGCCAGTAGGTTTATCAAAGAAATGTAAAAAATATTTACAGGCATAAATGCACAAATATTATTGACATTACACTCACCAATCTTTCCAGTCGATCAATGAGAACTTTGTAGTTACGTGAAGTTATATTCAACTTTTTAAAACACAATCCAGAATTTCCTCCTGGCACCTTAATGGTAAAAGTAATGATAGCTGGTAAATAAAATCATAAAAACAAACATCATGCATTAAGTAATGCTTTGAAAGAAATAGTGTTAAAATTTCATAGAATTAATTGTCATGTACTTACAGGACGCCTTATAGAATTTGCACTCTGTAATTAATAAAACAGCATTTTTCAGAAAAATTTCATCTTACATCCTATTACATTTTGTGAACAATTTTCAGAGATGATAAAATATAACTCAAATGTTATTCCGTAAAACTACATAGACACTTAAAATGAATATATTAAACAGTTAATAATGACTTGTTATTGATGAAACTTAATATACTGCCTTTTAATGAACACCAGAAATTAGTCTTTTTATTCAGTAGTAATTTGGTTGTAGTTTAGAAAAAGTTTAAAATTACCTCGCGGGTAGGACATTGTTCAATATGACCAACAATAGTTTCATGTGGCAATAGAGTCAGTACATAGGCTGCAGCGTCATATACTCCCACATCATTGCCATCAAATGTGATGATATGCAAGTCAGAAAACATGGAGCAGCGACCTAACAAGGCAAATACATTTATTGATTGGCTTGAAACTACTCCTTGGTAAAGAACTGGAAAAATACAATGTGTATATAGTATTTTGTGTTCATTTTTTTCGTTCAAATAGAGTATCTTCTTTCTCCTGGTACATGTAGCAAACTGCATCTCCATGTTCAGAAAGAAAAAAGGTAAAGATCATGTTATATCATGTTTCCACCCATGTTGCACATTCCCAGTATTTCCTGACCATTGTCCAGAAGTGCAGTATTGTCCTGCACCTGGAGTAGGCTCTAGACCTGAACTGACATAAGCAAAGGAGACACCAATTTTTGACTTCACTTCTCATATGATCATTGGACAGGCACTCCAAACATGGAATCAGAGATAGTTGGAACTGCAGATGCTGGTGAATCCGAGACAAGGTGCAGGGCTGGATGAACACAGCAGGCCAAGCAGCATCATAGGA